AGCTGTTGGCCCTCCGACGTCTGCGGCGTTGCACCACCAAACCTCCTCTGGTCCGTCTCCTGCTGGCGTTGACTTCGGGTACGGACACCCTCCGTTTCCTCCTTAGGTAAAATCGGCATGATTTAATCCCACTTCTGACACCAATTGTTACGAGCTTGAGGTTCGTGACAATAAAAATTGCCGATAAAATTACCTAAATTAACACTTTAATTTACTTTACACAATTAAAGTTAAAACACTAATAATTTAAACACATTAATTCACTTAATTCCACTCCGAAGCTTCGCTTGTTTCGCCCAAATCAACACTGCCTCGATCGCTTCTTGCAGCGCCTATATATTTGAATTAGCAAAGAAATATCCAGAATGTTCAAGTAAACACGCGGAAGGTATCGAGCGTTCGAGTTTCGACTAGGCGCTGTCAGTTGAGCGATTTGTGATGTCATTTTCTCAATGCTCCCCTCGCTCTCGTTCCTGACACTAGATGGCGCTAGTGTATCGTTGACTGGAGCGCGTAACAGTCCCATAATTTTATTCCCCATAACAACATTACCAAACAATTGTATTTTACACGAAGTACAAATTTAACACATAAAAAGATTAAAACATTCACATAATAAAAAGAATTAATAAATTTTAAATAAAATAACACTATTTTATAAGCAATTTCTTACAGCCATACATCTTATAATTTCAAATATAAACTTTACAAAACAATTTTCATTAATCATTTCACATATCTTATACAACAGTTTAATACAAGAATTTACACAAAACTTTTGAGCAGAATTATGTAAATCTTTAATCTTAATATTTATTAACTTCCCAGGGGAAAGTTATTGTAATGGGTCCGATTTTGCAAATTGGAAAAAAAATAAAAATATAAATTCATTGAAATAATATTTATTATTTAGCGGAAGGTTGCGAAGAAATTTATATTTTTATTTTTTATTATAATGGATTTCCGCAAAGTAACGCCTGATTCTATCAATTACCTTTATCTTATCTATTACTGAAATGTCTTACAAATGCTTAAAACATTATACTTTTTTTTTAATTATTTAGTATGATATAACCGATTGCTATGTAATTCATTACTCTAAGTTTGTACAAATATCCTTACATTTCTCAGAAATTAGTATTTTATAAAAATAATAATTAATTCGTCATTTATTTTAAGAAACAATGAGAGATTTAGTGAGATGTTTATCTCGCGTCGCCAACAGTAATAAAAGAGAACTTATACATAGACGGGAGATGTCTGGCACAGTGCCTCAATATGGCTATCAGTTTTTTGTACTTAAAATTAGGTATTTCACATTTTGCGATTCTTAATATTAAAATGGAAACATATCCAAAAATATAAATCAGTTCAAATTTATGATCCCCGCATCGAATATATGCCACGTCACAGATTCAAAATTAAAGTCATTAATCCGATGGCATTTCAATATAGCTTGGACCCGCTCCGGATCTATAAATTAAAGCGTGAGCAATTACGATTTGCCCGTCGCGGCGCGGGAAAAACCTTATTTATTATGGTACATACGCTGCCAACTTTTTTTTTAAATTTATAGCAGACCTAAGATAAATCTCAAATATTTGTAAAAAGATCAAAAATATATTATTACGGAAAAATCATACAAATATTCCTTAAAACAATTGAAATAAATGCGAATAAAAGCAAATAATATAATAAATGGGAGGAAAATTAGTTCGTGGAATGAAAAAAGTATGACACTCATTAATAGTATACTAAATCAAATAATTATTTCTTTGCTTTGAAAGGAATGAGATATTTATTCATTGCGTAAATTGAGAATTACAAAAGAAACATTGAAGAAAAATGAGTTTTGCGCCTTCACACTTACCAACAAAATTGGTTTTGAATTCGATTCAGTTTTCGATTCAAAGTGAAGTAGCTTTGAATGATTTTAAAATCTTACTCCCGAACAAACTCGAATCGAAAAACAGGATTGAGTTATGATCGAACGTTATCAGCGCCGTTATATAGCCGGATTTTAAAAATATAAATTAACTACATAAATGGGACAAGATTATTATTGCTTGCGCGGAAAATGCTTTTTGCTGATAATGTCAATTTGAATCATCATTCGTTCTTCGGTTTTGAGACTACTGAATTAATTTGTATTCGAATAAAATTGGATTGAAAACTTATCATCGCTTGAGATGAAAATGCTTTTTTTTGATAAGCGGACACCTGAAGACTTCCATTCTGATAATATGAATTTTAACCACCATTCGCTCTTCGGTTTTGAAACACCTAAATTTAACTATTTAATTGTATTCGAATAAAATTTGATTGATTTAGAACAAGAATATGTCGGGAGCAGGCCGTTAGTTTCTTACTATTGAAGAATGTCCCTGGGCTACGGGGACTTGTGCCTTTAAAAAACAATAAATTTAAAAGTTGCAAAACCTCTTTAAGAGGATTGTGAAGCTGTAAATGTTCATACAAAAAGCGATAACGTTTTCTCTCCCTTGAACCTAGTAAAAATTTTTTTATAGGAGAGGGGGCAAACGAGTATACGGTTCACCTGATGTTAAGTGATTACCGCCGTCCATGAACAACTGCAATACCAGGGGAGTTGCAGGTGCGTTGCCGGCCTTTTAAAAAGGAGTAGGCTCTTTTGTTGATGGTCTCAGGTCGTATCGGTCCGGAAAAATCGCCGGTGGTAAACTATTCCACAGAGAGGTCGTACGCGGAAGAAAATTCCTAGTGAAACGTACAGTGGTGGACCGCCAAGCATCCAGATGGTGTGTATGGTATCTGGAGGTTTGCCGCGTAGAGCGTTCATGAAATTTGGCGGCTGAGATTGAATTCTATTCCATTCAATGCAATTTATTTGCTAATCTTGTTGTATACATATGGTCTTAATTATAAAAATAGTTCCAAACAAGAATCCTGCAAGGGCACTGCAAATATTGGCAATTATTATTATTACATTTACATTATGGTATTATTAATAAAATTATCATGTAATGAATATTTACAATTAAGTTAAAGACTAACGAGATCATACTATATTATATATTCCTATTTCCTACTTAGTCATTAAAAACTCCTGCAACGAGTAATAGCACTTTTTTGTTAAATATGTATTTACTTCCTTTTTGAAATTTTTTTTAGGTTTATAATGGTTCTGTTATATTCTGGTATTTTATTATATATTTTTATTGAAATTGCATAGGGGCCAGTGTTTACGATATGTAATTTTATGTAACTGTGGATAGTTTTATTTTTGGTCTTAAATTTTTAGGGCGAAAATATTGAGGGAACCATTCGATATTATTTCTAACTAGTGAGCATATTTCAGATATATATAGGGATGTTAATGTCAGGATATTATAATTAATAAAGTAATTTCTACAGCTTGTCATTGAGTCAATATTTGCAAGTATGCGAATACATTTCTTCTGAATGAGAAATACTTTATCAGCGTCTGTACTGTTACCCCAAAGTACCACACCGTAGCGTAGCCAGGCGTCTGCGTAGTAGGCACAGGTTGCTGTTTTTAAGTCTGTGGTTTTTTTAAGTTCTATAAGAGCGTATGTAAAACTGGATACCGTAAAATGGGGTGAATAGACACAACTTTCAACTTCTACACTGATTTTCTTACATATTTTGTATGAAAGCTGCTATTAAAAAATTGTCGAAATGCGAGTCTCGTTTTAATTTACCAAATAGTTATTATTTAATTATGCATAAATTTGAGAATTATTTGTAAAATAGGAAAAGTAGGCGGCTTCTATTTACCTTGAAACTGGGGTCAAAAGATACGACAGAGGGGTGAATAGAGAAAGAACGTTAGGGTTGACAAAATCTACTTTTATTGTATCTATGTAAGTAGGTATTCGTTTTTCAGTAAACAACTATCAACTTTTAATTTTTCCATTAATTTACTAAGTAATTTGGGAAAAAACCTTTCGGAATCGAAGATTGATTTCGACCATCAATTTTCTTCCATACATAATACATAAACACTCACGCCTGTCACCCAGAGGGGTAGGCAGAGACTACAGACGTCCACGACTACAGACTACAGACTAGCACGATCCTGACACACCTCTCTTGCCTCCTTCACATCCATACACCTACGCATACATGCTCGTCGGTTAAGGGTACTCCTAATTTGGCCCGTTTTCAATAAATCGCCAATTTGGTCGATAAATTTTCGCCTAGGACGTTCCTTTCCGACTCTGCCATTCACTTCTGCAACATAAATTTTCTTTGTCACTCTTTCCTCATTCATTCTTTCCACATGACCAAACCACCATTTTCTTCCATTGTAAAATTATTTCTCTCCATGCTATTTTCATCGGTCTGAAGAACGCAACGTCGAGTAGTTGCGTAATATGCGTGGAATTGGCTGGTAGGAAATTAAAATGTATATCCTTTTCAGAGCATTTTCTTATTAAATCAATTGATAGGTGGCATGATAAGTTATCACCTATCAAATATTTTTTACCGGGTTTATTTTCAAAAAACGGAATTATCATACTGATTACCCAATCCTCAAAAATGTTAGAATCAAACCAGCCAGATTGACTTCTATTATAACGGGCTCCTTTTGGGCCAGATTTTATCCAAGTATCGAATAAGTTCTGAGCCTTATAACTACATATGGGGTAAGATTTCTCCTGCAGCCGTACACGCCATCATAATTGAAATTGAAGCTTTTGAAGAATTCATCACCTTTCAGGGTATTTTGTTCCTCTCTTAGTAATGATCTTTTTTTCTGCCGGGAGCATCAGCTAAATTCGTTTCGTCGTAGTTGACTATATTTTCGATCAAAACATCACTAATACAAATTTGTAACTGTTGAAAATACTTTTTAATAGTATCTGGAGAGACTGCAGCTTGATTCCTTTTAATATTTTGTGATACCCTCTGAGTTATTTTATCACTGTGCCTTTTCAAAAAACTTCTGGCGAAATCCAGCCCAGGTAAGTTATTTTTAAATCTTTTTTCCGTAACGCCTAATCTATCCAAATAATTTTAACTAAAACACTTAAGTCATAAAGTTCCATAGGATATCCCCATTCGGCACATACGTTAATGTATTTTATAAATTGAAGTTCCGTCTCCTTTGATATCACTGTCTGGTCTCCTTGGGTCTTCACATTTATAATACTGTGTCTATAGAGGACAGATTTATTAATTTGAAATTTTTCGGCAACGTTGCTCAAGGAATTGCTCCCCTCGTTATACTCACGAAGAGCCTGCTCGATGAGTTCCTTGCTATACTTTTTAAATCTCTTGCCATGAGGATCTGGCTTGTACACCCTCGGCATGATGTTCACAGCGCGATGTGGCGTATCTGTTTAAAATAATCATGAAAAATTCGTGAAAATCAAGTACAAGAAATGATGTAATTCACCTTATGTGAATTAATTATAATTCGAACACAAAATACTAATCGTCGCTACAGTCACTTACGCGTGTGAGTTAAAATTAACCAAGTAAAAACAAAGTAGAATTTAGAATACCTAATATTTAAATATATTATTGAACATTAAAAAAAACAGGGCATAACGAGAATATGTATTTTTAAGAATAAGTCTTTCTGCAAATGAACCCATAATAACCTAGGGCATTTTTGGAATGAGGCTAATCGCAAATATATCCTTAAACGGTCTTAAATAATTATCTCAGTAATGCAGAAAATGTTAAATTAAATTAACCAAAGCCGTTGAAGGTAAAAAAATCTAAATTTCAAATTAAAGTGTCACAGAAAAAACATTTTAACAAAAAATTTTAAATGAAAACTGTCATGATGAAAAAATACTCGATTGACAACTCTTTTTTTTTTTTTTGCGGATGGAAAATCATCTAATGACCCCTTTCGCTCTGGGTGGAGCGTAAGGGAGTGTCAGACTTTTACTGACTAAAAACCATCCGTGTTCCTTCAGTGCCCTTACGTTCCGGAGCCGCGGTATCTCTTTCGAACAGCCCGCAGCCCCGGCAGGCGTCGGCCCTTGCGGGCCCCTTCACGCTGCTGACAGCTCTTTGAGGCGTGCGTGGAACAAAACGCGCCGTCGACACGGCCTGTCGTCATTAGACGGACGGACGACGAGCTACCCATTGCTCGCCGTCCACAGGCCCGCGCCTACGGTGGCCGGGGGCCACGACGTAGCCCCCGACGCCCGGGGCGTCTCCCGCGGCGGCCGGGGAGGAAAGCTGCTGCTCTCTCCTTCTCCCGCTCCGCCACCTCCTTCGCTAGCATCACTGCTTCGCAGAAGGTGGTGACGGCATTCCATTCCGTCTCGCTCCGGACCATGGCTTCGACCAGGGCCGGACGCGAGAGGTCGCCGCCGCCTATCGCCGCTACGAGGACACGGCGGTGCTCCGCCCAAGCAGGGCACACCTCCACGGTGTGTTCCACCGTGTACTCCGGTCTATCCTCGCAGTGGGAGCACCCGGGCGTTTCCTCCCGCCCGATTCGGTGCAGGAACCTCCCAAACACACCGTGTCCGGTGAGGACCTGCGTCAGGCGGAAGGTGAGGATGCCGTGGCGTCTCTCAAGCCACTCCTCAAAGAGGGGTCTTATCGCCGCTATAGTGGACAACCCTGAAAATCATGTTTCTATTAACCTCTTTCTCGTTGCTATTAACCCCTCACTCATATCTATTCACCCCTTTCTTCGTGTCTATTGACCCTAAAGGCGTTTCTAATCACCCCCGACTCGGTTTTAATCACCTCGAAATCAGTAAAAAAATACTAAGGCTCGATTTTACTAAAAAATAAGAACAAAATGATGGAATATCGATACTAACCTTTTTATTCCTAATAGGTGAGAAACTTAACTATCCAAATATGCAAATTGACAAAGAGTTATCAGTTACGAACTTGATGTTTTTTTTAAAGTTTTACACAGTCAATAAACACTTGTACGGAGACGATCACTTCAACAGCTTTTTTCTCTATGTCATTAGACTTGACGTAAATTTTAGGGTTGCCAGAATAAAGGCAAAATGTTGCAGTGTTATTAATAGTAGAAATAAAGATACTTTAACAGACTATAGAGCAACTAGAACGACCATAATCAAATTCTCAGATTTGTTTCTATACACCCCGCGATTTCTATTCACCCCATTTTACAGTAACTTTTTGATAACTTTATTGATGTGTTCCTTCCATTTTAAATGTACATCTATATTTATACCCAGGAGACAGTAAGAGTTACAGTAACAGATTCTATGGGAATATTTAGGTATTGGTAGTTGATATGTATGTGGCGTTTTGTTGTGGTCAAAAGTTTGGTCTTTTTGAAATTGATCTCGAGGTTATGATCTTGGAGCCAGCAACTTGTTACATTTAAAGTACATATTAGGAGATGGTGTAATTCTGTGCTGTTGGGACAGGGAAGAATTAATGAAATATCGTCAGCAAAAAAGGGATATTACATATACTTGGAAGATCATTTACATATATTAAGAACAGCAAACATCCCAGGACGCTACCCTGGTTATTGAGTGATTCAAGATTATTTTTTCAGACCTTACAGTCTCAACAGTTCCGGTTTTTGGGTCATTGTAGTCTATATCTACGTATTGGACGCGTTCGTTAAGGTAAGATATGAACTATTTGTGGGCCAGATCTCTCACACCTATGTTATATAGTTTATTTATTAGGATCGAGTGAGAAACCCTATCGTAGGCCTTGCTCATGTCTAAAAATATACCAATAGCATGTTGCTTCTTGTCAATTACCTTCAATACTTCCCTTATGTATTGATATACAGCGAGTCCTGTAGAGCGACCCTTTCGAAAGCCATACTGTCAGTCAATTAGTATATTATATTATTCATAGAAGGTCTGTTATACATGACTTTTTCTAATATTTTGGAAAATGTTGATAAATGTGCTATTGAACGATTATTATTGTGATTTTCCGGGTCATATTTTTTGTGTAGCCATTTGACTATTGCTATTTTTGTTAAGTCTGGGACAATTCCTTGCCACAGACATTGTTTAATAAGAAAGGTGAGTGGTGCGGCAAGTTCATCGGCACATGTCTGTGGTGGTATTTCATTAAATCCATGACTTCTTTTATTTTTTAGTCTTTTTATGACATTAAGTACTTCTATTGGGTTAGTTGGGCTGATAAATATAGAGTTATTAATAGTAGTGGCGGAGGACTGAGTTTGTGAGTGAGAGTTGTTCACGGGAGCGCCCACCGAGGCGAAAAAAGTGTTCAAATGGTTTGAAATTTTAATCCGAACAATTCCTCAGAGCACTCCCCGTAATAGATGCAGTAAAATACGCAAAGAGATGCAACACTTCGCACTTCTTCACAGCGCCAGTGAATCGAGCCGATCGGAAAGCACTCGGTCGTTGACGATTTGTGCCGCTCTGCACTTGATACGGTATAGTGGAAGGAGCTGATACTGAGGAGCCCCAGCCCAGAGATGAGAATTGTATTCCATGTCAGGCTGAACCTGCGCCTTGTAAAGTTGCAGGCGGTGTGCCGGTATGAAATACTGTCCCGCACTGCTGAGCACGCCAAGCTTCTTAGAGACCAATTTGGCCTTTTCTTCCAAGTAGACCACGAAACTGCACGCCACTCGATATATCGACACCGAGGATTCCGATACTGGCTGAGGCAACACGGGAGTGTTGAAATACAGTTCTTTTTAGCGGTTAACGTGCAAACTTGTGTCTTCTGAGGGCTAAACTGAGCTAGATTTAGTCACCCCCGATCCGAGACTTGGTTCAGCAAACACTCGACTTCAAACACAAGTTTGTCCTGGTACTCGAAGACGTTTTCCCGAGAAATATTGGCACAATACTCTTAGGCAGAACAAGACTCGCTTGAAGAACATGACAGGGCAGGACGGGTTGTCGAGGCTATATCTGGAAGAGTTGTGATTTTTTTATATTATATAGAAATTACGTAACATTTTTATAGGGTTAGACAGACCACCTGATTGTAAATGGACGTTGTGGCCCGTAGACATCTATATCTTTCTAGATTAAGAATCTAAATGCAGATGAGTTGTTACTCCTGAAAAAGGAGCAAAGAAAAAAAACGCCTGATTTCCAGTAAAAAGGGGCTTGAGCTATCTACACGCAATATATGAAAAACAGAATTTTTGAAGCTGCTGTTTTATGCTGGTATTCTATAAGAGCGTCGTTTTTCCTCGGTCCATCCGATTTAATCGCGCTACTACCTTCATATAGATAGACTGGCGACTCTGCCACGTTAGATATCGATTTATGAAAGATGAAATAAAGGTATAAAGTTTTTTTGATATTTAAACGCATCTTCACGCGATATTTTGGTCCTTTATAGCAAGAGCAAAAAATTGATTTTGGGTCTAATTGTTCCTGAGGATGAGATTTGGGAGCATCATTGTTAGCCTGAGTCTAAGCAAGACTCGATGCAGCGGCTCAAAAAGGCACATCACCATCCAAGAATTCCAATGTGTATCTATCGGCAAGAAATATCATTACCACATATTTTTTTGGATTACATAAGAATTTTTTTAATCTAATATATGAAAACTAATGTTTGTTCATATTTTATGCGCTGCCATTTCATTCATCAATTTGCGATAAAACTTTGTCAACTTTTTGCATGCACTTGCGCGAAGGTTATAGGTATATTGCAATTAATTTACAGTAAGTGGCGCGCGTATCGTACCGACAAAGTTATTTGAAAGTTATATAACACTATCATTATCCATTCTTAATTAAACAGTATAAATTACAATTTTCAAATCATATTTCCGCATTTCTTCGGCGGCAGAAACGCGTCGCCTAGTTGGGTTATAAAAATGTTTTAATAACGAGAGATAATATACCAGAAATTTGAAAGGGTTAAAGATAATGTCAGGGGAAAAAGGCAAATAAAATTGTTGCTCAATTTTGTCTTTTGTATTGTCGTATAAAAGCGACTACAGGCCAGGGCACAAGGCGCATGAAGCGATGACAGTCTAGCGATTATTATTTATTTGCAAATATGAATGAGAGAGCTTCGGTAGATAAAATGAATTTTAATCGTACAAAAGTGTCGTGTCTAATGAAAGGGATTCGTGGTAGAAAAGTAGTACTACCAAAGGTTTTGATATTTCTAAGTAAAACAATAAGTCAAAGAGAACATATTTAATGTTCTGTAAAATCCTCCAAAATACTGTTATTGATTTTATTTACGTGGCAGAGCCACGCTGCAGCTATATCGGTTGACCGGGGAAAGACTACGCTCTCACAGAATGCAAGACGTTTGGTATTGCTATTGTAGTTTTGTCTTTGTGTCGTAACGCTCAACGCCCAAATTCATGCATTGAATTAATTCGTTGTAGAACGGACACCGTGAAATATTCTATGCGGCGCGTGGAAGAAGGCACAGAGTACCTTATCGCACAGAACAGGAAAGTTTCAGCCTGCGGGCTCTAATGCGTGTTGCACTCAAACATTTCTGGAGTCTATTCTAGTATGTAGTTCATATTACTTTATTGTGTCCATGTGAAATTTAATGGACTAATGAAAATCTAGAGGAAATATTTTTGCCCTCATTCATATATATGCAATTTTTCCGGATAATAAGAACGTTTAAAATAGGTCGAAAACATCAAACGCTTCGTGTTTACCAGCCAATAAAAAGTGTTATGGTTGGAAATAAGCTCGTCTGAAACGGTGACTTTTCTAGAAATTGTACAATATCGTTCTCGTAGAACGTCGTTATTGACACAGTTATCGCATTTAATGTCTTATAAAAGTTATTATTAAACTTCAGCTGGCCATAATCCCCGTTTAATTTATAAGCGTTAGAGGGAATCGTCCTGAATTTCGGTAACCAGTATCCTTAGTTCACTTCATATTTTTAATTATTAAGTTATACAACAAGTTTCCATTGTTTTTAATTATGTCCGATGTATATTAAAAATAATTTTTAGTTTAGTTTATTATATTTTAAAATAATTATAGTATTATCCACTTGTCACTGTCATCGGCTACCCGGCTGCCTAGCGTGACAATTATTAATCTTTCTCTACAATGGCGGAGTCCTCAGCGTTCAAATTTTATTTTTAAAAAATTTCACGAGCTGATTAAAATATATCCGCTTGCTATGGATTCTGAAACGTTAATACAATAAAAAAAAAAACAAACGCCAAGGTAGCCACGATTTCCATCAGAGTTACACAATCACACTGTACTGCTAGAGGAGGCAGACGAGTTATACTGGAATACTAAATTAAAGCTTACAATGGTCACCCTCAGCGCCAACGGGTGTCACTATCCTGTGATTCAGCTTGTTAAATGCGCACAGGGTAGCAAAGACTTAGCTTAAATATCCTTCATTACCTTTATTTAATTAATACTACTGATTAAATACATAAAAATATTGTGGATTTTACTTATGGTTTTGATAATTTGGTATATTGGTGACAAATATCATAACAGTAATCAATTTGTATATTCATGTATTATATATTTTATATTTATTTATATAACATATTTTAGTTATTTTTAGTAGATTTTTTAATTCTTGTCACCTTTTATTTCCTTATTTTTTATTGACTGGTATAATATGTAGTCCGCCCAATGTAACCGCCCAATGAAATCGTGGTAGCACTGCGAGGGTTTTGGGGGTAGCAAGTGCAGTCCATGGGACGTGCTAATAGTCAAGCAACGCGATGAAGGCTGAACGTAACCCGGAACACCCTTATACGCTTATTGTGGCCATTGTGTGGCTTTCACCAGTTAAAGTACGGCCTTTATCACAACTTTTTCCATGTAATTGCAGACGAAGGTATCCATACAAAAATGTATGACAAATTGCCTTGGAAATCGCTGTTCGCTTTTGTTTTACACCGTCACGGTCCAACGACGGGTGAAGGTCGGTGACTCATCGATCCATTATAAAGCGATGGTTGTTTTAATTTTTTATTAAAATTTTGACATTAGATTTTTTTGTCAATTTTCTTTCATGTTATTAGGTTAAATTATAAAAAAATTAAGTCTTAGGTTCGGATTATTTTAATTAGTCAGTGTTTGTGAATAAAAAACAAATGTTTGGTCATTAGATCAGATATGTTGTGAAGTATAATGGTTTATTAACGTATGGCAATCCATTTTTCGTTGGCAATCCGGAGAAGTTTTGTACTGGATGGTCGTGGATTCGAATCCGCCACTCGACTACTGTCATGAACCACTCCCACATGCATTTTTAAGCTTAACTTGAAGGATAGCTTTATTTAATAAAACTAATTTTACAGATTTTATCGCATTTGCTTGAATTGATATGAATTATCGACGTTTTAGGCGTTTTATAGTACCAGAGGCTTACATAAACTAACTTAAACTGCTATATTGTATTCTACGTGGTACTGCCATGCTGCAGCTATATTAGTAGTATAGTTGTAGCACGAATGGGTCGGCTCGACCGGGAAAGACCATGCTCTCACAGAATACCAGCGTAAAATAGCAGATTATTAACGTTGATGTGTTACGTATGGTGAGGGTAGAGAACCGAAGACCCTTTATACTGGAAACGAGGCATTACATCACAGTCTTTACGGGTGACAACGTACCTGCATTTAGATTCGTTACCGATGATAAATAAATAATATAAAACGTACAAGCTCTCTGTGGAATAGTTTACCACCGGCGATTTTTCCGAACCGATACGACCTGGGGACCTTCAAGAAAAGAGCTTACTCCTTTCTAAAGGGCCGGCAACGCACTCGCAATTCTCCTGGTGTTGCGGTTGATCATGGGCGGCGGTGGTCACTTAACATCAGGTGAGCCGTATGCTCGTTTGCCCCTTCTTCTATAAAAAAAAATGTAGATGTCTATGGGCCACAGCAACTAATTACCATGAGATGGACGGTGTGCTCATTTGTCACCCTCATCCTATATAAAAAAGTAAAACATTACTTATTTGCCATAGACATTTTCTGCATAGGATAAGAGTAAGAACGAGCACACAGTCCACCTGATGGTAAGTGGTTGCTGTGGCCCATTGACATTTACATGTATCCTCGATTACGAATCGAAATGCAGGTGTGTTGTCACCCGTGAGGACTAAAATGGAATGCCTCGTTTCCAGTAAAAGAGGTCTCCGATTCTCTATACTAACCATAACAAACAGCCTTTAGCTTACCATTACCATTACAACCATACCAGCGTAAAATTCTATTCTGGAGAGCGTGGTCCTTGCCCAGTCGAGCCGGCCCTTTCGTACTATAACAATACTACTAATATAGTTGTAGCATGGCCCTAATAAGGGTTTTTCGTTTGATTTATCAGGAAGATGTTTCTGCCCGTCTCCTGTTTTAGTTTCCCTCTAACGCCTTTTACAATACACACTGTTTGATAAGGTGTAGTTGATTCACGTGTCGTCAAAACACGGTAAATTTTCTATATTCAAAATAACCTTTCATTTTCCTGTTGAATTATTTCTTCAGTTCAGATAGTGTGCTTATTAAACTCTTATGAAACAAAATACTGAGTTCAAAGACTGCTAAACGAGATTCCGAACGAATTGTTTTTAAAAAACAAATTTAACGCACTTTGCTTTTGATAATACCTTGAGTATAGAAATCGATAAAGTCCGTGTGCAGCATTAGATACACACTATTATGTGTCATCAATATAAAAATGAAATAGTATAGTAAAATGTATTTACATAACCATGTTTCATGTATGATTTATCAAATTATCATTGGTAGTCATATGTTAATCGTAACTAATCCCGAAAACAAATTGATCCAAAAAGGTCTTTAATTTAAAGGCTTGTGCTTGTAATGAACTACAAATCAAAGGTCGTGACCGTGGACGTAAAGCGTGAAAAATTTCCGATTGCGGTCAATTTGGTTGAGCAAGTGTTTCCAATTAAGACGTCACCACTACCGCTGTGCTGCAACCGGTTAGTGTTCACCAGTTGATTGTTAACTGCACCCTGCACTAGGATAGCAATGGTCCGGACACCTGTCTGGCTGTTTCTTTGCCTAATATCCGCGGTTGGTAAGTATATTTTCAAATACTTTTCTACCAGTATCCAAAGGACTTTTTGAGGACCACAACTATTTCTTTATTTCATCAATATCGTTAATTATAAATGTATAGTTTTTGAAATTTTTTTTCTTCTTTGTAATTTTCATCAATATTATTTACTTTATATGTATGTTTTAATTTGTTGTAACAAGTAATCAATTAAAAATCTTAAAAAAGTTACACATTTTGCAATGATTATTTGAGTTTGATAGCTAGATAGAAGTGTTTGCCTTTTTTTATTATTTTGATGTAAAAAGAAAAATACTCGTTTTCAACTTTTTTATTGAGAGGTGAATACATTTTTCACTGTTTTATTTACAAGATAAATAAAAGAGTTAGATAGAAAGAAAACAACGGAATGTTTACGAGTTATACATAATTGATGACTAAGATACAAATTTCGAACCAATGATTCAGCAAATAGGTACCTTGAGCTGTAAATATACAAAAAGCATAATGTTACTGCGAAGATAGTAGAAATAAAGACTAAATTGAATTTTAAGAAAACGTAAGTTCTAACCAGTAGTTTGTTTATTTAAACGCTATGATTTAGTTACAGTTTACTTTGTTGTAACCCTGACTTTGAATACGCATTTCAATATAGCAAAAATATTTCTTAAAAATTTATAGAAGCTGAAAAGCTTTTAAATACAGCATTATTAAGGAAAATATTTGATTTGATTTCATTTGATTTGAATCTTATATTAGTTTGAAACAGGCTTGTTTAAAAAATATTTAATAAGCTGCATCTTCAAGTAAATTTTATGCTAATAATATTTTAGAACTTCAAGAAGCAGTGGAAGGAGAATGTTGTGCAGAAGACGTCCAAAATGCGAATACCGATGTGGAACTACAGGATATAGAATTAGCAGAAGCATGTCCAGAACTTAATGGTCAAATAATTGGTGGCAGACCTAGTTCAGTGACAAGACACCCGCATCAAGTGTCTATGGTGATCAATAGAAATTCCTTCTGCGGAGGATTCATTATAAGCCGCGATTATGTGCTCACAGCAGCGCATTGCGTTTTAAAGTAAGTCACTTTAACATACTTTTGTTAGTTTGAACTTTATGTATGTATGCAGCGTTGCAGCCAGGGTTATGGGCGTCCCTGGCAAGATTTGAATTGCGCCCCAAAGACTTGTTTCTTAGGAAAAGAAGAACACAATATCTTAAAAAATTATATAAAGCTATGTATACGAATGTGGTAGAGCCACGCTGCATATATTATGGTTGTAGCACGAATGGGTCAGCACGACCGGGGGAAGGACCAAGCTCTCACAGAATACCAGCGTAAAAAAGCAGCTAAATGCTGCTGTAATGGTTAGTGTAGAGATCTGGATACCCTTTTTTACTGGAAATGAGGCATTCCATCTTAGTCCTCAGGGATGACAAAGCATTTGCGTTATGATTCTTAATCGAGGATAAATGTGGATGTCTATGGGCCACAACATTCGCTTACAAATAGGTGGAATGTGTACTCGTTTGTCACCCTTATTCCATAAAAAATTAAGAATGAAATAATTCTTACTTGCTGTTTTGTTTATAAAATTTCTTAAAAGACTATTTTTCTGGTTTGGAGTTAGCATCATATTTTAATTTTGTGTACCTGATCCTCAGCGGCCTAGTATGTCTACAAAGTGCGCCGCCCCTATCTACTATCCTGTATTATTAAAAAATACTGATTTTTTTAGTTCAGTTTTCAAATACTTAAAAAAAGTCTGAATAATCTAAAATTTTGCAGATGTATTAAGAACCGAGGATAAAATGATAAATTCATGATTATGATCTAGGACCATCATAGCTCTAATTTGCATTATTGATCATCATTATAGCTCTTCACACGTCCACTGCTGCCTGTATCGATCGGCTTTCCCCATCTATTACCCCCTCCCCAACTGTAATTTCATTTCAATGTAAATATGCATTTCTTCATTTTCAGTCTTTGGTATTTATTGCTGAAGATGCCTTTTTAAGATGCACCTTGAAAGCTAATCCCATTTTCTTAACACGTTGTACCAATTTATGAAATATTATAAAAGTCTAGGGTTTTTTACACTCAGTGTACATTGTACAATACATAGTGGCAGCATAAGGTTGCTATATTACGCAGGTATTTTGTGAGAGAGGTCCCTTCCGCAGACGAGATAGCTTTACCACGTATAAAATCCGTATACCATTTCCATGGAACACTGTGCAAAAGTGTGTGAAAGTATGTTATCTTATTATAAATTATTATAATAATTTATATTTCAGATTTTCTGTTTTAATTTGTTTCTTTCACTTGTTTCTTATACACAGCACAATTCCTTCTGATATTCGTCTCCGAGTGGGCAGCACACGTCGCGACTCCGGTGGCCGTATCATTGCTGTATCCAACGTGACCGTTCACCCTCAGTACGGTAGGCCGCGATTCGACAACGACATCGCAGCTTTGCGGCTTGCTAGACCTCTTAATTTCAATGCTGCAATCCGACCGATAAGATTGCCCCAGCCGCAGCAACCTGTGCCGTTAGTCCGGCTGACGGTTACAGGCTGGGGTCTTACTGCTGTAAGTATTTAAACTATATTTCATTTTAAATTGATGGAAAATGGAGCAAGCTAGGTCGTATTCGCAGGGTTTTCTTTCTGTCTAGGGGCATAGATTAGTATAAAAGTCCTTATAATAATCTTACTAAATTGTAAATACAACATCCTCCCGTGTAAAACGAAAATATCTACGATTTTATGCACACTTTCAGACAATACATGCAAAAATGTATCTAAGGGGTTGGACTTTAAGTAGTTATTACTTCGTATGGCACGCGATGTGCCGGTGGCAGCGCGTGCAGTAGCACCAGCATTGACTCATCACAATTAAAATAAAAGTTAGTTAATACTTATATTAATATGAGGGTGATATGGTTACTTTAAGCTTTGCCGCCCTATAAAACCAAAACTAGGAGGACAGAGACAAAACCACAAATTCGTATACTGTAACTAACATATTAAGAAAAAAGGCAAGTTTTGGCAATAATTATTATGAACACTTCAAAAAATTAACTTAAAAAAACTAACTACACTACACCATACTAAAATCGACTAAGGGTATGTTCCGAAATACAACACAGTACATTGTCGAATGCGAATGACGTCATTAATTGACGTCGTATTCCACCATATTCGATACAACGAATCATCAATATGGCGTCGATTTATGACGTCATTCGCATTCGACAGTGTACTGTGTTGTATTTCGGAACATACCCAATATATTTAATACAATGTCAAGTGTCAAAATGTCGTCGATAAAGCAGCGCCTTTTGGTTTTGACTCTTTACTATTTGATTGACTGATGAAAAGCTATCGTATAACAAGGCCATCTATGCAAACAAAGTTGTAGTTTATAAGATAAGAAAGCGACTATATTAACCGGATGACCGTATTACCTTCTCGTACTATAAACTATAAACGTTTATCATATTAGGTATATACCTATGAAATTTCCGTTCAGTTGAACTGGCCACTTTGAACTGTAGGTAGTAGGTATTGTTTGACTTGGAATTCTAAATTCGCTAGAGGCAACCGATGAATACAGCCTAGAGACTGAGGCCTTCTAGGGGTACAGGGGGGAGGGCGTTTGGTTCCACCCTCTTTCAAATGTTTACTGCCAAGCTTTAGTTTGAAGAGAAAAAGAGCTAGTAATCTGAATCTTAGGTTGGGAAATTGCAACGCAACTGTGTCTTTTTTGTCTGAAGTTGTCCATGGGCTGCAGCTAGTTTTTCACTTTTTTTGTGCGAGCAGCTATACAGGTCTAGAGAAAGAGACCAGTATCACTGCGACCTGGAAGATCTATTGTGATCGCTGCTATGGCTATAGTTCACTGCTAAGCCCTATGTCTTCAATGAATAGAAGGAGTTGCTTAGCTGTGAGCAATTTCACTTCTTCTAAGGGTTGTACATTGTTTCCCAGATGAGTGTTACGTTTGCTCATTAAGAATTCGTATTTAGTTAGGATGTGCATAGGCGTTTCCTCTGTTATGGAACAGAACCGACACATCCTTGAGTTGCTTAGTCCCAGAATGAAAATTTTTTCACTCTTATTTTTGGTGTAGAGCACAGTTTTTACTAGTCTAGAAATGTTTTCGTCGGTCGAAATATGTGTAATATGTTTTTGTAACTTTCAGCCTCGCGGTCGACGGATTCCTCGTATAATGATGGAAGCGAAAGTGCCGGTTGTACCTCACTGGCTGTGTCGCCTATCTTATGGTGATGCTCTCACTAAAAACATGTTCTGCGGTGGACATTTTCTTATAGGCGGAGTGTCATCATGCCAGGTAAAAAAAATGTTTACTACTAATATGCATACAAAATATAAGAAATTATTACGATGAACTTATATGAGTTGCAGGAAGTTGATGGACGCTGGTGGTTGGTACTTTGTAGCAATTCTTGGGGGAGGACGAGGTCCAGCAGTAGATTTTTGACGGGCTGTAATGATGATGATGACAGAATTACAAATATCCTTTTTTGTATTTATCAATTCTATTTTAAAATTTTTACTTTTCTATATCCTTATGCCTTTACTTTATTAATCATCATCATTAAAGTCACCAATCAAAAAGTCCACTGCCAAACATAGACCTCCCTCATGGTTACCACGCTTGGGTTGTTGTTGGCGGGTTGGCAACGGCAGTATTTTTTCATTATTTCGAGTTGTTATCAGGAAAATGCTGCTACCCATCTCTTATTTCATTTTACGTCACCCACAAGATGTTATGAGGGTAGTGGATATTATTGCACCGCCATCACGTGGTTATTGACTTCCTTTGCATATAAATTCGGAAGTTACAATAGTATGTCATTGGCACTTGACAGTAGGATTACGCAAATCATTTGAATCACTAGAAACAATGTAGCGAGATTCTAGTACAGCTATATTTAGGAGCGCCAGCTAGAAAGGTTAACAACCTATTATTAGAAGACGTTTTATATTGTATTTATAGACATTTCTTTAGTGTCTTGTTACTCTGGTACAAATAGGCTACTTGATTATACTATTTCATCTTATATATTCTTACAATTTGTATACGTACATACAATGTTTTATAATAACTTTTTGTTTTTGACGTTGCCTTGCCCTTTCCGTTGACCCTTTGTTTTATAAAAAGTCCTTCAATTTGCAATAAAAAATATTGATGATCACTTATTGGAATAAAAACTGTCCTATCTCTCAGCAGGAGCAAGCAATACACATTTAAAAAATCCGAAATAGTTTCGGAGTTCATCGCGGACAAACAACGTGATACGTTATTTTTATATTTAAAGATGGTAACTAACGAGCACACAGTCCACTCGATGGTAAGTGGATTCTGTGGCCCATAGACATCTATTGTTGATTAAGAATTTTAAATAAAAGGAAAATGCGCTGTCACCCAGAGGAAGAAGATAGAATGGCTGGTTACCAGCAAAAGGGATCTCCGATTCCATAGACTCATCATTCGTAACACAGCAGCCGCTCGTAACAAGGAGCCGCGATAGCACATGTGAGCCGTGGTAGCTCAAGGGAGCGGTGGTAGTTCAGGGTCTAAGCGCTCGATGTAAATTTCACTGTACGCAAGTAGCCCGGGTTCGATTCCCGTCGGCAAAACTCAAATTGTTAATTGTAATTTTAAGTACCTATTTACCACGTGATCGGCGGTGAAGGAAAACATTGTGAGAAAACCAGTATGTCTGAGAAATTCAAAAAAATATTTCGAAGACATATGAAGTTCGACAACACGCATTGGGGTAGCGCGGCGGACACTTTCTGGCCCTAAAACATTCTCAGAAAAGAGAAGAGACCTGTGCCCAGATGTGGGACGTATATAGGCTGTAACTTTACTTTTTTTAATTATTCAAGTGCGTGGTCATTCCCTGTTCGTCTCATTCGAACTACAACCATAATATGGTTTCAACGTGGCTTTACCACGCATGAACTTGATAGCGATCACTTCATTCTCATTTGTTTTCATCTCTTATTTGCCTGTTTATTATCAATAAATATATTTTGTTGTTGTTGTTCATGTTGATCACATGGTCCCAGGTTCAAAGCTAAGGACGAGTCAAAATCTGTTGTTTGCGTAATCTGTCAGGAGAGTGGTAGAGCCACGCTGCAGCTATATAGCTGTAACACGAATCGCTTGGCTCGGTCTGGGTAGGACTACGCTCTTGTAGAATACCAGCGTAAAATAGCAGCTTAAGGCTGCTGTGTTTCGTATGGTGAGTGTAGAGAACTGGAGACCCTTTCTACTGGAAACGAGGCATTTAGTCCTCAAGGGTGACAACACATCTGCTTTTTGATTCTTAATCGAGGATAAATGAAGATATCTATGAGCCACAGCATCCACTTACCATCAGGTGAACTGCGTTCTGGTTTATCACCCTTATTCTATAAAAAAGGAATATTTAGCAGCCTGAAGTCAGGAAGTTGCCGGTGTTTCAACACCGTGCCTTGTCGTTGATCCTGCGCTTGTTTACTCTCCAGTACCTACTCAGGTGCACACTGCACCTAAGTTTGCGTAAACACTCGTTAACGATGATCTTGTCCTGCATAGATGGATAGTCTTTGAAACTGGCCGTAGTGACCAAAATACGGTCTGGAAAATTATTATCATCATCATCATCATCATTACAGCCCTTCACAAGTCCACTGCTGAACATAGGCCTCCCCCAAGGTATGCCACAAAGTACGGTCCTGAGCCACCTACATCTATCGACTTCCTGCATGTCTTACCAGGTCATCACTCCATGTAGTGGGGGGGTTGCCCTACACCTCGCCTACCGGTACGAGGCTGCCACTCGAGAACCTTTCTTCCCCAACGGTTGTCGGTTCTTCGAGCTATATGGCCGGCCCATTGCCACTTCAGCTTACTAATCCGTTGGGCTATGTCGGTCACTCTGGTTTTACTGCGGATATCCTCATTTCTAAGTCTATCACGCAGAGAAACTCCGAGCATAGCCCTCTCCATAGCTCGCTGAGCGACTTTGAGCGTCCTCATACGGCCAGCAGTGAAGGACCACGTCTCGGTTCCGTAGGTCATCACTGGCAACACGCCAAAAATTATAATTGTTATTATTTAAAAACCTTTAGTTTTCTGTTACTTATGACATTTTAAAACTCATTCGTTAATATTTAAAAACTGTTCTATTTTTAGGGTGACTCCGGCGGCCCAGCTGTGTATCGTGGAACAGTATTTGGCGTTGTCTCTTTCGCACGTGGATGCGCATTGCCGCTGTCTCCCACTGTGTTCACCAATATAGCGGCGCTGAGAGATTGGGTCACAGAGAACACCGGAGTATAGATGTGGCCGGAGAAAAATAAACTCTGTTGGAAAAGTCGACGTTTCATTTTACAACAATCAAGTCTGTGATATAAATACATCTGAACATAAACCCTCCCAGAAGCTTTACAGTGTTCTGTTGGTGTAGATAGCGATTTTTTTTATAGTTTTAAATAAAGTTACTGAATGTTGTTGTTTTTGTAATTATATAACATAATTAACTAAATAATATTTAATGAATATCAAAAGATACTCTCAATGACTTTTTTAAGTTCTGAAAAAAAAAATAGAGTGTAACATATGAATGGAGTAAAAAACTATGGCACTGATATTTTACAAAAAATTAAAAAAAAAATTAAACGTTCGAAAATTTTTTTTGTACAATTACTTTGTCCTTAGCCCTTGAACCTGTGACTCTGCGAAGTGACAAGGTCAAAGATGCCTATTAAATTTATTGTTTTATTGCCGTCCGTGTAGTAGGGTGGTTATATTTTGAATTTCGATTGGTTTTAATAATAATAAATAAATAAATTTATTTAATACAACATTTTTGTTTTTATTTTTGTAAAATATCTGTGCCATAGGCTACTACTCCGTTCACATGCTACATCCTATTTTTTTTCTATTTTTTTTTAGAAAAGGTTACCAGTATATAGCTTATGCGATAAACTAGAAAGAAGAAAATAGAGACATATTATACCTAATGTATTATAAAAACATAACATATAACGTTATGTTTTTCATATTTATATTGTTACAATTATATTATTGTCCAGAGAAGCTGTTGTATAGATAGGAGAGACCAAAATATTTTTTATATAATAGGGAACCACCATTATGTAATATTCGTGCCGCTGATTTCTGAATTTCAACTACAGCGCCATCTACCGGGTCTACTTGTAATAACTTGCAATATAATATAAACTATCTAGATACCCGTTCAAACACCACAAAAAATTCATCTAAATCGGTCCAGCGCAGTTATATTAGTAGTATAGTTGTAGCAGATGTACGGGGAAGGAACTTAAGATATAATATTATTTATTTGGTGATGTAGAGAGGATACTTTACTAGAAACGAGGCATTATTTGTCTACGGTGACATCTATTTTTTCGCAAGGATAGATGTAGATGTCTATGGGCCACAGGAACCACTTACCATCAGGTGGTCTGTGTGCTCGTTTGTCAATCTATCCTATAAAAAAAGTGATGATGTTACATACATGCGGCAATTGATTTTTATTTATTCAGTTAAGTAAACAAAACTTATATGACATTCATCATTTATGCTTTAACCGATTTGTCTTAAAAAAACCTATGTTTTAGAAAGAACTAGCAAGAAACTCGGAAGGACTCTTTTAGAAATAATAATAAAAAATTACTGCGTATAGTGTTTTCAATTTCTTTTATTTATATTTACTATTTTCAACGGGGTAGAACCACGCCGCAGCTATACCATGGTTGTAGTGCGAATGGGTTGTTTAGACCGGATTAGAACCACGCTATCACGAACACCAGCGTAAAATAGCAACTTAATGCTACTGTATCACGCTTGGTAGGAGTGTAGATCACTGGAGATGGAGACCCTTTTTTACTGGAAACGAACCATTCTAGCTTAGTACTCAGGGGGTGACAACGCATCTGCATTTTGATTCTTTATCGAGGATAAATGTAGATCTCTTTGGGCCACAGCATTCACTCATTCACAACATATATGTATATCAGATGAACTGTGTGCTCGTTTGTCGCCATAACTCTATAAAATAATATTAAAAAAAATTATTTAGAAATAGCGTAACCCTCATTGCCTATTATATTATTACCCATCATGTATTGTTTAATATTATAAAAACCAACTAGTGTTCAATATCTTTGACACATGGCAGTAATTCAGGCAAGTTCAAAAAATTTTTAGGAAAAAAATTAAGCAACTAAAAAGAATAAAATAGTTCCACATTCAGGAAGTCGGTGTTAAGATATATGGAATTATTTATTATATTAAGTATATGGAATTGAAGCTGAGAATTGAAGAAGACATTAGAATCTGAATATACTTTAAACTTTAAAATTGACTTTTACTTCTTATCAAAATTGATCTTTTGTACCTACTTACGACTTAGGAACCTTCAAGAAAAGAGCCTTCTACTTTTTAAAAGCCCGGCAATGCACCTGCAATTCCCCTGGTGTTGCGGTTGTTCATGGGCTGCGGTAATCACTTACCATCAGGTGAGCCGTATGCTCGTTTGCCCCTCTTCTGTAAAAAAAATTTTCTTTTATTCTTCTAATATCTACTGTCTGACATAATATATACCATTCTACCATCTTTCAGCCTTGTATAAGGAATATTAAAATCTAAATGTTACATAAAAACTTCAAACTCCGATTTTACCACCCTTAGGGGTTGCCTATTTTCTGAGAATTTATGGGACCACCCCTGTAGTATAACTGACTGCCTTGTTGATCTAGTGGTCGTTAACGTAATTGCTGATTATGAGGTCCAGGGTTCGAATCCTGGGTCGGGTCAATATAAAGTTATTGGGTTTTCTGTCGAGAAATTCTCTTTAGGTAATAAATTACTCGTATGACTATCTTTTGCAAATTAACGATTTAATATCTCTCTTTCACAGGTATACGAGATGTTCCTCATCGGGTACCAATTCCGTGTTCTGTCACCAATTTTCACCATCCACTGGGGCCTTCAGGCTCGACGGACGCGCCCTCTGTGGAGAGAGAAACAAAACGAAAAGAACAGAAAGAACTTCGAGACATTCAAACGAGAACTTTTCGCTAGATATAGGAAAGATCCATTGCATTTACTTAGAAGACCACCCCAGCAGCAAAAGAAAGGATAGGCATCGCAAGGCCGAGCGGTTACCGCCGGCCTGTTTGTAACTGTGTGTATGCTGTTGAGACTGTTTTGACGTCAAATGAACATTTGTACAAGTGTAGATAATTTTGATAACACGAACTATATATGCTTAGTGCTATGTAATGTGAAAACCTATCGTATGCCCATTATAAGAAATTTGTACAGTGCGAGATGTGTCAACAAACCTATTTATTATGCTGAAATTAGGTAAACTTTGTGTTTTAGTAAAGGTAGGTACATGGTAAGGCTGAATATGTTCCGGCTTGAAGCTTTGTGTTCCCGAGTCGAATATGTGAATTATATGTAGTTTTAGTATGGTTAAAAAGAACAATATATAAATATTTGTTCCTTAATTTTATAAGCATATTTAAAACATTAGAGGCTTTAGTTATAATTATTGATTACCGCTTTATTAAATTAACCATTAATTATCTGTATACCTGTCTCGATATGAAGAAGAGAGTGAGAAACTCGATTTTATGAGTAATGCCGTAAGTAAATAGACAGTCAATGAGTTGCTTAAACCGCAAGAAACGAGTGTAGCGGCCCAGCGCTGTCTCCGCACCACTGGTAAAACGAACTGATCTAAATTTAAAAGGAAAAACGATCTAAATTTCAAAACTATTCCAGTATATCCTGGTGACCTTTTACTATCTGAAAAAAAAATAGGGTGTAACATTTGAACGGAGTATATGCCTATGGCACTGATATTTTACACAAATAAAAACAAAAATTTTGAATTAAATAAATAAATAAATAAAAATCTATCGAAATTCATAAAATCATATTCATTCTACTTTACGAACGGCAATAAAACAATAAATTTAGTAGTTGTTTTTATTGTTTGTAAAACAACATTTATTATATATTTCATGCCGGCATACCACATGCAACTCTACAAGGCGCAGGTTCGGCCGCACATGGAATATTGTTCCCATTTCTGGGCTGACCGCATCCAGCGCAGAGCAGCTCGAATCGTCGAGGAACGAGTGCTATCCGATGGGCTCGATTCACAGGCGCTGCGAAGAGATGTTTTTTTGCGTATTTTATCGCATCTATCACGGGGACTGCTCTGAGGAATTGTTCGGATTAATCCCAGCCGCCAAATTTCAAGTACTCCCGATACAATTCACACCATCTGAATGCTTGGCGGTCCACCACTTTACGTATCACTAGGAGTTTTCTTACGCGTACAACCTTTCTGTAGAATAATATACCACTGGCCATTTTACGGACCGATACGACCTGGGGACCTTCAAGAAAAGAGCTTACTCCTTTCTAAAGGGTCGGCAACGCACCTGAAATTCCACTGGTGTTGCGGTTGGTCATGGGCTACAGTAGTCACTTAACATCAGGTGAACCGTATGCTCGTTTGCCCCCTCTTCTATAAAAAAAATTTCAGCCCCATAGGCTTCTACTCCATTCACATGTCACAACCTATTATTTTTCAGACGGTAAAAAAGGTCATCCAGTATAGAACAAGCTACGTACTATACATGGCGTTGGCCGCTACCCGGACTGAACACCTTGCCTGGCGGAAGATTCCTTGTCCTTTAAATGGCGGAATGGGCAAAGAAACGTTCTACCTAAGACGTCGTTAAAGCTCAAGAAAATTTGGATGTTGATTTTAGACAAATATATATTATAAAGTCTAAAATTTTAATAATTGTTAATAATAATTTATTTAGTAACATAATATTAATAGTGTATTATTATGTTACTAAAATATAATACTGTTTTAAAATATAACTAAAAACCTAAAGCTATACACACCCTGCGGTATAGTACCAAGAATGCTGGCTGCATTTCTTTGCTGAATGGATGTAGAAACTTGGCTTGTGAGTAAAAAAAACAACCAGCTTTTTTGTAACCAGCGGCGACAAAAAATCGTGGATACAGTTTCTTTAGAAACTTGACCGCATGTGGACTTCACGAACCGATACTCTACAGCAAATAGTACAAATAAGTAGTAATGTCATAAAGTCTCATATTTGCACCATTAAGACCGTTCAGCTTAATAGCTCCGCCTCTCTAACTCTACCCGTAAATGAAATACTAACGTCAAGTCGCCGAAATGTAGCGTACAAACTAGAGATTTGCTGGTCTCCCAAGGGACCAAAGTCATACCGTTAGGTCTCTTGTCATTGTCTCTAAATAGAAGGCTTAAAAATTGAAAGAACATTTATACAAACTAGAGCCTTTAGATAACAATGTTAGCGTATACATTGCGTCAGATTATTTACGTGATAGTGATGTTACGCCGGTAATCCCCGATAGGGTTAGCAAAGTTGAAACAGCAGTAAGCTACTCAGAGCATAATTAGCCAAAAAAATTTTTTTAATAGGATAGTATGACAAACGAGCACACAGTTCACCTGATGGTAAGTGGTTGCTGTGGACCAAAGACATCAACATCTATCCTCCAAAATGTAATGTGTGTGTGTGTGTGTGTGTGTGTGTGTGTGTGTCAAATGTGTCTAATATCCAAAATGCAGATGCGTTGTCACCCGTAAGGACTAAGAGAATGCCTCGTTTCCAGTAAAAAGGTTCTCTCAGTAACCATACGAAACACAGCAGCATTAAGCTACTATTTTACGCCGGTTTTCTGTGAGACCGTGGTCCTTCCCCGGTCGAGCCGACACATTCGTGCTATAACTATACTACTAATATACTCGTAATTCCAGCGTCTCTCTACCTCGTAAAATATGCGTTTAGATGGAAATTTACGAAATCAGTAATGTGTGGCTAGCCATCACCTACACAATCACAAACCCCTTAATAGTCATCTTTTGAGCAAGTTGGGACATTCTTTTATGTTACAAGTCTCACATAAATCTTTTTAACGCGGTAGAGCTACGCTGCAATGCCGCTGCCGCTATGTTATGGTTGTAGCATGAATGAGTCAACTCTCGGCTGTGAGTAGCAAATTGTCCCACCAACATGGGACAATTTCATCCTGGTATTTTGTTCGAACGTGTTCCGTCCACGGTTCAGTTGACACATTAGTGTTGCACTTTGGTTCTAACATCTAAATGTCTTTTAAATATTTGTTTAGTAAAATTAATTATGATAATAGAAAATAAAGAAAAAAAATAGCCACTATATTTATTATTCATTTTTTATTTCTTTTGCGCAGAAATTATAATGCCTTAATTCTTCCGGTCGGCAGGTCATTTCAACCATCTGTTGTCAATAGCTAACGCATCCGATAAAATTGGAATTACATAAATTAATTAATTAAAATCTATCGAAATTCAAATTATATCTACCCTACTTTACGAACAGCAAAAAACAATAATTTCAGTAGGCATCTTTGACCTTGTCACTTCGCAGGGTCACACCTCAAGGGTAAAGGCAAAGTAATTATTCAAAAAAAATTCAAACGTTTAATTGAATATTTTTGATTTTATTTTTGGTAAAATATCAGACCACAGGCTTCTACTCCGTTCACATGTATCACACTATTTTTTCCAGACGGTAAAAAAGGTCATGCAGTATATACATATATCGAAAATTACCGCGTCGGGCTTTACTGGGACCGGCCCATCATCATAAACAGGACTTGACTTGACCGGGTATTGTCAAAAATATTTTTGGTCGTCATTACCATCCCGTATGACGAGAAACTCGTGAAAGCCGAAACAGATAAGCGATTAAAATATTTGGACCTGACTGACGAGAACGTGATCTGTAGACCTAAGTTATTCCCGCAGTCGATGTCAGTCAATGTGACCGCCAAACCCGGTCAGCCTGTCGGTTTATCTGAGGTGACTTGGACTCCGTGATGGACCGCTCAAATGCAGAAGGCGGTGCTCTTTGATATCGCCCGCATCATCCGCCGGTTTCTTTCCCTTTTCTTATAACCTGGCCGTTTGGTCTCCTCTGCTGGGCTCTTACGCATCCGGCGTTGTTTTTTATGGATGTATTTTTTATTTATTTTATTATATTTGTTCTTTATTTATTTGTATTTATCATTTTATTTTCTATATTTATTAATCCCAACTACATCAGAAAACTATATAAATACCCCTATAATTATAACGAGAAAGGAATAGAATATACCCACAAAATAATGATAATTTTTATACAGAAAATGTGGTTATCTTGGGGTATAAGAAAACGATAAACGTTCCTTGTACATAAATTATTGATAATAGGGAGTTTAAAATTTTTCTTGAACTCTGGTTTCTGGTACTGTTTTTTTTATATCAAGGCGGATCTTATTATCAGTTCTTATACCAATTGTGAATCGTTTATATTTTATTACAACTTTTTATAAAAAAAAAACAATGAAACTGTAAGAACCGGAAAAATGGATCAATGATTATTTTGTCATATATATATATATATATATATATATATATATATATATATATATATATATATATATATATATATATATATATATATAATGTATATATATATATATATATATATATATTATACCATTGTTCATATAAACAATTTTTATTTACAATTAGATGTAATAGTGTAATTCGTGTGAAATGTACATATTGTATTTAAGAATTTTTCCTTTTTTTGTTAATTAAATGAGCTTGTTAACATGTACCTAAATTAGTAGGTGACAAAAAGGGGACCCTTTTTGTTTACTAGTTGTGTGGGGATTTACTACTATCATTTAACTATCCATCTGGTATTTCTTGGTTGCCAATCACCAACGTATTGGTTTGGATTGTAAGTCAGTATTATTTCAGGCTGTGAGGCACTTTACCTTAGTTCCCAGGGGGGTAGTGTATCTGTGATCTTCTTTGTTTATAGTTGGTTGCAGATGTCTACGGGCTATAATTTTAAGTCCTTGTTTACCACGTGCTCGGTGGCGAAGGCAGACGTCGTGAGGATTCCTCGTGTCCTCAGGCGTGTAGCGCATCTGTGATCTTCTTAGTTTATAGTACGTTGCAGATGTCTACGGGGTATAGCTTTACCATGTACTCGGCGGCGAAGGAAGACATCGTGAGGATTCCTCAGACGTAGAAAGAGATTAAAAAAATTAAGGAGAAATTTGGAGTCTGCCAACAGGCAATGGAGCAACCTTGCGGACTATTTGCTCCATAAGTCTCTCATAAATGAAAGGAAGCTTGGGTCTAGTCGTGTGGTGTATAAAGGTAACCTTAAAAACCCATCTTATGAACTATGAGCTCATTTGTCACATTGATTATAAAAATGAATCCTCAGCGCGTGAAAAAGTATTGTTAAAAAAATATTGTCTTGTTAACTTTGATTAGTTTTGAATAATTGACGAGTTCTTCAATGACAATTTTGACTAATTATACTTTAAATTAAATTGACTAATTATATTATTTTTGTTATTGTCATCTATTTAATTTTATCAATGTAGAATCTTAATTAGTATTCCAATTTCATTAATTTTTATTCTATTTTATTTTTTTGGCATGATTCTCCTAAGAACACACAATTATATTTGTTATGTATAAGAGTCTACATTACCTGAAGATGCCTCGTGTAGAGGCGAAACACGTGTCGTATTATCGTCGATGGTGTGTCTTACCTGGAATAGTGATGTTGGGAGTAGTGGTGCTGGGACTAGTGGTGACGGAGTTAGTGCATGCAATTGAGGGATGGCGGGAGGTGCTCTTCAATCCAGGTAAGACACATCATTGTATTTATTTAGCGGAAGATTGCTAAGAAATTTATATTTTTATTTTTTATTATAATGGATTTCCGCAAAGTAACGCCTGATTCTATCAATTAGAACTATTATTGTTTATAACTTGTACTTGAGCAATATTGCTTCTAATATTTTGCTTGATTTAATGTGTTAGTTTAATTGAGGAACCCCCAGTTTTTAACAGACTTCCAAAAGGATGAGGTCATTAATTCGAGTGTATGTTTTTATTAGTACTATTTCTTCTAGAAATTTTAATTGTCATTATGGAGTAACCTTTCGTTGGAGGGCCTTAAAATACCAAAATAATGTCATCGAAGGCCATAAGATCATCCGGGGAATATCGTTAGAGTTAGCCATGTATGGGGTGAAAATAACACTCACGGGATGAGACAGAGTGGATAACATCGGTGGAATTACTATTTCATGAAACTTAAAACAAAAGACATGTTCTTGCGTAATTGTGAAAGTTCGGAAGCGGGCTGGTCGATACCTGCAAGGAGGAAGTTTATATTATAATATATTGTGTAAGTCTGTTTAATATTTGTGTATCGATATAGAAGAAGTCACCCCAGCTATAGGGTACATACCTGCTAGTAATCATTAAACCAAGAAAACTTATAAGGGAGTTATTTTTTGTTATTTCAAAATGTTGTATTTTTATGTGAATTTAATTATTATAAGATGTACACAAATCGTTATTATTGAGTTGTTGCTATAAGTTTAGTAAATTATATAAGTTAACAATTAAAAAGTTTGTTTCTTTGATTTAAGTTGGAGATAGCAAAATGCTGCTCCCTATCCTGTTTCTGTTAAGGAGTGTCTTATGTAAGCCGCCACCAAAGAATATATGTATAATTACTATATTCTAACTAGTTCTAGCTAACACACGGCTGAGTTGTCATAGATAATAAACAATAAGATAAAGAAAAAGTAAAATAAAGTATAAGAGTTAAGTAATAGATAATGATAAGATGTTATAATAAGGGCTGAATCTGAATGCCAGGGTGCGAAATTGTGTGATTATAGAAGAGTGTGGTTTGCAAGATGATGTTGTGAGAAAGGAATGCTTCGGTGGTTTGATAATGTGAAAATGAGGAAAGAGTGATAAAGCAAATTTATGTTGTAGAAGTGAACAGCAGAGTCGGGCAGGTACGCCCTAGGCAAAAGTTTATCGAGTAAATTGGCAATATACTGAAAATGGGCCAAGTTAAAAGTATCTTTAATCGACGAGCATATAAGTGTAGGTATATGGATGTGGAGGAGGCGAGAAAGGGGTGTCAGGATGGTGCCAAATGGATGGTCCGTAGTGTCTGCCTAGCCCTCTGGGCGACAGGCATGAGTGTTTATGTGTTTATTTATGTTATAACAAAGATGAAATAATAAATATTTTAATAAATTAAAAAAATTAATAACTTTAGGGGGAACTTTTTATGTTTATTATCAAATATATGTTAATTCATGTAACAGCAGCCTTTTGAAGACTGTCAGACATAGGTCTTTCCAAGGACCTGCGCATGTATTTTTTGAAGGTTTGTTCATACTCAACACACTGGGTTGTTTAGTGCAGGGTAGCTATCATCACCCTAGTAATGCACATCCCGTCACCAGTCAGTATGCAGAGGTTTTGGATGGATTGGTCGCCAGAGCCTTTTCCGTCACTCAGGTCAAGCAGGATATCTTGATGGTATGACTCTCTTTATGCACAGAAGTATGTCTGGGAGGAAATCACTTGCTTTTAAGTTATTGCCGGTCCGAAATAACCAGTTCCAGACCCTGGAGGCGGGTGTGTATTGGCATTTTTCACGAAAGAATAGAATGCGCTACTTATAAGTTGTCCTTTAAACAAAAGCTTTATTGTAGCTTAAATATTAAAACTGTCAACTATGGAAGTTCATATACGTTTCCACGTGCTAACTTAAACCTTTATAAGCTCACAAAGAATCACTACAGTTTTAATCTTGCTTTCCGGAGCAAGAAAGAATGATTCTTTATTCATTCATCGTGATAAAAAATTAAAAATAATAAAATTCTCAATAAATCGGACACATCACGCATTTTTATTCGAATTCTTTATAATTAGATTCTGAATCCAATCCCAAATTATAGGACTCGATAGTCTCGTGTAGACTCCAGGGAAGTTTCCACGTGCGCAGCCCAGTCCCCAAGATACCACGCCTATAAGTACGCCATCTTGTACTAATGGACCTCCGCTATCACCCTGAAAAGTAAGTTGCAAATGTGTATTAATTAAAACATTTAAGTAAAAAATTACAAGTAAAAGGCCGCTTAACACAACTAAAAACTATAAAATATTTTTTACATAATAGCTTCAGAAGTCGTTGCTAAGGCATAGCGTATTGAAGAACTAAGCCCCGACTTCAGAAGCGATCATACTAAAATCCCTGAGAACTGAGATGGAAAACCTTGTTACTAGAAATACGATCTCTAGTTATCGTCACTCACAGTACGATACACAGCAGCGCTGTGCTACTATTTTATGCTATAATCTATAAGAGCACATTCACAGAGTACTTTCTGTGCCCAATCATTCGGCTGAAACGCTGCTATAATAAATAATGTCCTCGAGACTAGATTAAAGCCGTTGAGACTAGTTGCCGTGACCGTAAACACAGGTGCATTCTTTAATGCCTCCAAAATCCCCTTAGAGATCAATCCCAATCTGACACCACCGGAGGGAATGCAGGCGTAGGACCAACGGCATTACGTGTTTTTTGAGACACCAGGTGAAACACTGCTAACTTCCTGACTTTGAGCGAGAGGCGAGAATTTATTGACAAAAACATCGAAAAACTATTGTTTTGTCTGATCCAGGAATCGAACTCAGGATCTTATCAGAAGTCGCGCTTATGACTAACGGACCAATGAGATTAAGACAAATTTGCTATACTTATGTTAAAAATTGGTTCAAAATGAATTAGACATGTTTAAGTTCATTTATGCTGTAAAAAAACTTAAGTATATAAAAAGTAAAATTATTTTTATACCTGACAAGCATCAGGTGCAGGTTGACTGAAAGATCCAGCGCAAAACATGGAAGCGGGATCAATAGCCCTTCTGTCAAGCCCCGATCTTCGGCAGAGCTTCATAGCAATGGTTTTTACAGTGGAAGACTGAAGATACGTAGCACTAGGCCCCCCTTCCTAGTAAAAAGAACATGTTTATTTTATAATTAGGTAGGAATAGTTTTCTTTTTGTTTTCCGCTTACAGTTACAGCAGATCCGAAGACGGTCTTTCCCACGTGATCCTGTACACTGGTGTGCACATGTCTCGTAGAGCCTAGAGCGCTGTGGCAGAGACTTTAGTCCGCGAAATGTTTTTTTTAATTATAGTTACCGATACCTTTGATCAAAAGTTCATCATCTGGGTTATCATTCATCGCGCAATGTATTGCAACAATATTTTCTGCCAAAAGTTACAGTAGTTCTACATGCAGTTTACTGTCTTTCCGACGCAGTTTTAAAATGTCATATTTCTCTAATAATTCACATCTAATACACAAAAAAGAATATTTGTTTGTTTGTATTTTATGCGCTGCCATATTCATTAGATTGCGGTAAAACTTTGTCACTTATTGCTTGCACTTGTGCGGAGGTTATAGGCATAGTTGGACTCGGTAAGTGGCGTTGTTGTAGAATCCAGATAGATATAGTAATAAAAATCAAATATTTTTTTAAATAGGTCTGCGCTTTGATAAAAAGTTTCCTATAATTTTTTAAGTATTGTTTTTACGTTGTCTTCGTTTCACAATCTGTTTATTTTTGCTTATTCATTATCTTTGTTATGGCTTCGTTTGCTGATACCATGTTATGGTTAAAATTAAGGATAGTTATAAAGTATATAATAAGGTATAGGAAAAATAGGATTTTCGTTGCAATGAGGACTAGTATACTTCAGAAAGTACATGATGCACACACACCAAGATATGGAAGAACGCCTGAGATGCGTTTGAGACTCAAGTATTATTTTACTTCAATGAGAAAATTTGTTACGGAATTCCTCAAGAATTGTAAAGAGTGTCAAATATATAATTTCTCAAATCAAAAGACAGAAAGACTGCCACAGATTTCAGTAGAGAACCAACGAAATGAGGTGTTGGCTTCTTTTGGTCTAGTACCTGATGATGAATCTGGATCAAAATTTGTTCTACTTGAAGAAAACACTATTACTCATCAAGTAAGTTAAAACTACTAAAACAGCTCTCATAGTTATTTAAAAATACTCCCTTAGATAAGGGTTTTCCACGAGAATTGTCTCGGACAACGAGATACAGTTTGTATCAGCTGTTTTGAAAAAAAAAACATGAAACTTCCTTGGTATTAAGCAAAATCTTCTATCACTCTATTATACATAGTCTTAGATATTTATACAGGGTAGAGCCACGCTGCAGATATATGATGGTTGTAGCACGAACGCGTCGGCTCGACCGGGGAAGGACCACAATTTCACAGAATACCAGCGTAAAATAGTAGCTTAATGCTGCTGTGTTTCGTATGGTGAGTGTAGAGACCCAGAGACCTTTTTTTACTGGAAACGAGGCATTTCATCTTAGTCCTCAGGGGTGACAACGCATCAGCGTTTTGATTCTTAATCGAGGATAAATGAAGATGTCTATAGGCCACAGCATCCACTTACCGTCAGGTGGACTGTGTGCTCGTTTGTCACCCTTATTCTATAAAAAATATAGGTTCTTAATATTTATTAGATACGTGACTTTATCAAAAGCAAATATTTTGTTACTCTATTATATTAAAAATAATACCCTTAGCTTTCCCCATCCAGACACAACAGCTGGCTGGTCAGCGGGAAGTCTGGATTCCTTTGCTACCAACCGAATGGGAAGAATTTTGGCAGAGAAGCGCAGTGGAGAGTATAACTGCACTAGACCGACATCGCAAATCTTCGTTTTGCTGTTGTAACGTGGGTGAACATGGCACTCTTTAACGTCGTACATTTCGCCGCCACGTGTTTTCCAGGACGAACCAAGGCGCACGCTCAATTCGTTTGCACGTGCTCTGAAAAGCAAGAGTTTTGTTTGTTTATGTAATTATGGATGGAGTTTTTATCTTATTCTTCTTAAGTCCAGTAGAAGATCACTTCTGGAGTTAAGCGTCTTCAGTTGCAAGGAAAATTTGCCTTTGTATACGTGGTAAGGTTGCATCACGAATGGGGGGACTCGGCCGGGAAGTATCACGCTCTTAACAGCTTAATGCTGCTCTGTTTCGTGTGGAGGGTGTAGAGAACCGGAGATCCTTTTTTACTGGCAACGAGGCATGCCACCTTAGTCCTCAGGGATAACAACACATTTGCAATTCGGTATCTTAATTGAACATAAATGTAGATGTGTATAAGGCACAACATCCACTTACTATCAGGGGGACTGTGTGCTCGTTCTCTCGCTCTTTCTCATGATCCGTAATAGGTAGACAATTTAAATTTCATATAATGTATTTATATATATATATATATATATATATATATATATATATATATATATATATATATATATATATATATATATATAAAATAACAAAATATAAATATAAAATAAAATAAATTAAAAATTAAAATGGGCTACCCTACTAGAAACCTGTTTTTATGATGATACATACCTTCATTCTTGAGTCCGACTCGCAATTAGCCGATTTTTATTCACTCTTTTTCCATAAAAAAAAATCTTAATCGCTACGCTTTGTGGCCGTCTCGCACCTTTAAACTTGCCTTCCATCGAAGGTCTTTAGATTTATTTAGAAGGGTATTTTAAGTCTGTCGTGAATGGGAAGGTTTATCACTTTGTCATAACATTTTCTGGGGTTCCCCACATTTGCCTCTTGCGGCATGAACGAGACGAAAAGATGTGATGGATTGTTTACCACCACACGATAAATCTATGTACTCATACATATATGTAAATATATAAATCTTTCTATTGATCACTCTCTGGTCGTGTTGAATTGCCGTTCTATCGGACTATAGAGTGGTGGAATGGAGAGTACACCCCAATTTGCGCATATACTTGTTCACTATAATCCTGTCTTGCGCACATGGCTAGTCTTCGTCTGGACTGCGTGACGTCATCGAAATTCGGTTCGGAGGACATTACTATACACCTGTTTGTTTTTGTGACCTCCTGTGGCCTAAACAGCTTAAGATTTTGAAGAGTGAGGAACCGTTAGACCTGTTTTATAGTTTATGTTTATACTGCTTTTTATTTGTGCATCTTTATACTTGAGTATCATAGGCTGTATGGGTGGCAACCCTTACAAAACACCTTAAGTGCTTGTTTGAAAAGCAATCTAATGAACATAACATCTTATTAATTCATAATGATCACTCTATTATGGTTCCTTGAGTTTTATTATTTTTTTTTTATTTTTTTTATTTTTTTTTTATAGAGGAAGGGGCAAACGAGCATTATGTTGTATAGTGATTGCAGATGAAATCCCAACCTCACTGATCTCACTAATTTTAATTTAAAAACAATATCTAATTTTTTGCGACCTTCTTAAGATAACCTTCTGCGTAATTCGCTTTCGAAATGCTATTTATTTCGATTCTATATATCCAGCCCTTATCTCTGAAATAGGCCTCCCTTGAAAAGCATTATAATTTGAGAATTTTTAGGCGAGTGTACAGAAGTGTAAATTGTGTTAGAAATCTGTAGTTAATTTGAAGTATGGTGAAAGTTAATTAGATTTAAATTGTTATTTATATTTTATTTTGGTAACTATTTGAGATGATACAATTCAGGAATTTAATGTTAAAAATTAAACAGTGTATTATATTATTATACAAGGGAATAACAAGCACACATTTCACTTCGTCGTAAGTGGATCTTCGACTAAGAATCAAAATGTACTGTCACCCCTGAAGAATATGATGGAACACCTTGTTACAGTAAAAAAGGTTTGCAGTTTCCATCACCAATTGGAACCAACAGTTTCTTTTATTATACAAGAGAGAAACGAGCACGCAGTCCACCTGGTCATAAGTGGATCTTCGACTAAGAATCAAAATGTAGATGCGCTGTCATCCCTGAGGACTAAGATGGAATGGCTCGTAAAAAAGGGTTTACAGTTCCCATCACTGATTGGGTTGAACAGTTTGTTTACGTGGCAGATTCACGCTGCATCTAAATTATGGTAGTAGTATGCAGGTTCGTGTCACAGAAATTCAGCGTAAATTTACCGCATAATGCTGCTGTGTTTCGTATGGTGAGTGTAAACACTCAGATACTCTTTTTCACTGGAAGCAAGGCACTTCATCTTAGTCCTTAGGTGTGTTAATGCATCTAAATTTTGATTCCTAATCGACGATTCTTAATGAAAGTGTCTATGTATCATACCATATCAGGTGATTTACGTGCTTGTTTGAATCTCTTATTCTATAAAAAAGGAGGTATATGTTCAGTAGTGGACTTGTGGAAGGCTATAAAGATGATATTGATGAGTAGCGCTCACTTAAAAAAATATGTTGCGGAGGCCTAAGTTTCTTAACATAGGCCACAACAACACAAACACAAACTTGAGATGAGGCTGAGGATGAGGCGAAGTAGTGGACAAATAGCGGAACGTTCTTCTCGTTTTCCATACAAGGGGCCGCGCGTCCTCTGTGCGCATCGATTCAGGAAATTGCAATTCACAATGATTGTGATAACGCCACCCTGCACGCCTTGTCAAACGCTCTCTACTAAAGTCTTACTCATACTATATATCCCAAATACAATTCACACAAACTGTGATAAAAGCAGTATGATCTGTTAGCAGTATGATGAGTCCTTTTAATTTGTAAATGTGACATACGTATACCGTTTTTTATAGAATTAGGGTGCCATATGTAGTTTTATTAGTAAGAATGCTGAAATACCTTCAAAAAACTAAAATATTGGTATTTAATGTTTTACAGAACAGATATTTAAATGAAAATATGTTAAATAACAATTTAAAAATTATATGTAATAACTTTAAAAATTGCTCATTTATTAATACTTATCATATAATTTCAGATTAGATTAGATTATCTTATAATTTCAGACATATCAGAGAAAACTATTGAATATTAATATTAAATATAATGATAAGATCATCGAACAAGTAGCAAGCACTAAATTTCTGGGTATAATGTTGGATCAAAATTGCGACTGGAAAATACATGTCGATTACGTTTGTGACAAACTCGACAGATTTGTCTACGCAATAAAAAAGATTACGAGTCACGGTATCAACTGATGCTGCTCTATGTGCATATCACGGATATGTTTCGTCGGTACTATCATATGGTCTTTTATTGTGTGGCAATTCAGTAGATGTAATAAAAGTATTTAGAGTACAAAAAAAGTGCGTGCAATCTATGGAGCAGGGTATACGGATAGCTGTAAGCCCTTGTTTAAAAAGTGCGAGTTCTTGATATTAACATGCTTGTACATAAAAGAAATATGCATATTTGTAAAACAAAATCCTGAACACTTTGAAAGGCATATAGATATAACTGAACGAAATGTAGCTCCTAGAAATAAACATAAATTATACTTACCTCAATGCAGGCTCAAATTGTACGAAAGGAACTCTTACATAAATGCTATAAAGGTGTGTAACAAAATACCCAACGACTTTAAAGAGTTACCTTTAACCATTTTTAAAAAAAAGTTGATAAATGGTTAAAAGAAAAATGTTTTTACGACCTAAATGAATTTATGTCTTTTTGTGGAAAATAAATCCAAAGTCAGTAATATTGATATATATCTAATAATTAATTAATTACAAAAAAAAAAAGAAAAAAAACTGAAAGTATGGAAATTAACAATTAAGAACAATCATTACACAATGTGACATTTTAATTGAATTCCCACTTGTTTTTAATTTTTTTTTCCATGTATACTTAATTGTTTAACTTAACTTAACTTGTTTTTAATTTTTTTTTTTTGCCATTTTATAAAATATTTGCACACCATATAAAGTGGTAGAATGTAAATGGGACATTATACATAATTTAAGATCATACTTTATTGTACACATACATTCTGGCAAATAAATGAATTTTGAATTTGAATTTGATTTTTTGAATTTACGAGCACACAGTTCACCTGATAGTAAGTGGATGCTGTGGGCCATAGATATAAATGCCTATAATATTTTAGCCGGCTACAACCAGGTGCCATCGATTGCGGTTGATTAAACCTAGGTGACCGTGTAGTGGCGGTGTAAGGAAATCCACTAACTCATAACGTCCCGTGGATGTCATAAGAGCGACAGAGGGAATGGGCAGCAGCTTCTTCCTAACAACAACTAATGAAGAAACTGCGGTTGCCAACGCGTCTGCTAACCTGGTAACTGTGGCAAAAATTCCCTTTATAAGGCAATCTATGGGGGAGGCTTGTATTCACCAGTGAACTTTTTATGAGATATTGGTGGTTATTTTAGCTGGTAAAACAGAATTACGTGTATAAATAATAATAATAATCTCCTCCAGACCGAATTCCGGCCACGGTGGTCTGTCTCAACGGAGGCTAGCCATCAGCGCAGGACAGGATTATAGTGTACAAGTGTATGCGCAAGCACAGGTGCACTCTCTATTCCCTCAGTGTTGTCGTCTGCATGGGCTGCTTAGGCCCTGCAGGTCTCTGGCCTCGGGGTATGCCCCCATTGCCCGGACTATCCTCACGGCCTACTACTATGGGCCGGTCCTGGTAGCGTTATCTAAGGCGTTGTTAGATTCTCCGGACTTTAGTCCACAGTTGGTTAATTTTTTTTCGTTGTCGGTTAAGGTTATGAAAAAAAGGAGGTTATCTTGTTAAGTCTGAGTTGACCTATCAGTGGCATTGTGGGTTTTACTACTATTTGGGGAGGGCACAAATTCCTGGATGGTTTCTACATTGAGGTTGGCCACTATGACGTTATTCCGGACGTAGCGACCCGCACCGACTATGGTTCTTAAAGTCAAATTCTGCTGGGCCTGCAGTCGCTGCCTCAGAGGATCGCTCAGAAGCGCGTACCAGGCCGGAGCAGCGTAAGTGATAATGGGTCTAATATACATTTTGTATATTTTTACTTTGGTCTTCAGTGGTAACTTGGATGCCAGGACTGGACGGAGCATCGCCCGCACACATCTGGCTCTGCGGACGACTTGCGAGCCCTGTCAATCCGGCACCCAAGGTAGGTCACGGCCTTCTCGTACGCGATCTTCTGGCCATTGAGGGTTAGCGGAGGTGGTAGGTTCCTGAGACGGCGAGTGAGCAGAGTGGTTATCTTACCATCGTTGACTACTATTCTCCACTCATCTAGCCATGGTGGCAACAGGTCCAGCAGACGTTGCATCATGGCAGTGGCAATGTGGGCTCTTCTGGACGAGGTGAAATAGGCGCTATCGTCCGCATATAACGCCAGTGTTGGGATGTCATTGGTGTAAGCCGCGTACAGGACTGGAGACAAACAGCTGCCCTGTGGAACGCCGGCTCGGATGGATCTTGTTGCGGACTCGGCGTCCTCTACGCAGACGTAGAACTTCCTGTCTGCCAGGAAAGACGCCACTAGCCGCAACATAGCAGGAGGGACACTGGTCTGTTCTTCCAATTTGTAAAGTAGTCCAGAATGCCACACCCTGTCGAACGCCTTCTCGATATCGAGAAAGACGCCCAACGATGTGCGGCCGCGGTTGTACTCAGCCGCAAGCAGGTGCAGCACTCTGGTCAGCTGTGTTGCTGTTGAGTGATCCCTCCTGAATCCGTGCTGCTCCGCCCGAAGTTGGATGCACGGACAGAGGCGTCTTAGCAACAATCTTTCAAGCAGTTTAGCTATGTGCGGCAGCAGCGTGATCGGCCTGTAGCTGGTTTTCGGGTCCCGGGTTTCGGCAAGACGATAACTTTGCCTTTCTTCCAGTCCTCCGGGCTCTATACCCTCGCTCTCATAATCCAATGGAACAGTAAATTGACACGACCGGAGAGAGATCAGGCGCAGGACCAACGGCTTTACGTGCTTTCCGAGGCACGGGGGTGAGACACCGCCAACTTCACGACTCCGGGCAGCTACTGAGAATTTCTTGACAGAAAAACTCAATAATTGATTTTTTGGCCCGACCCGGGATTTGAACCCAGGACCTCATGATTAGCAGTCACACTACTACAACCATTAGACCAACGAGGCAGTTTACGAGTATAAATAAAGTAACTATGACTTCCTATTGACTTTGTAAAAATAAGAAATTACCCAACAAGAAATATCAACGATAATATGGCTATGGTGACCCTGACGAAGATTCTTATGTAAATTGGGCTTTAATTTATTGCACATTGAAGTTCAAAATACTAAATACTCGCTGTAAATTACATATATACGAGCATCTCGGGTTTGACCCCCAATATCAAGTAGCGCCAATGAAATTGTTAAAAGCATTTTTTAGTTAGGTTTGTGCTGATTTACCATTTGCTCACCGGTATAATGGCTGCGCCACACTATAATCCTCGCGCTGCTCACCGCGTTACTCCTCGCACTGCCACGATGTTGCTATATGTGCTCACACACTGCTCTACTCGCACAACTAATCGCGACGCTCGCGTTTGAAAAACAATGGTTATATGCATATTTAGTATAGATAATTCATATCAATATATCATAAGAAAGAAATATACGTCATCGTCCTCGCCAACGGAGATGGTAGATGACATCTATTCTCCGTAATTGAACGATGCTTTCGTAACAAGTGCTCGTTTGGAACTGAGTTTGCGCGATTATGAGGCTGACCACTCGCGCTCATATTGTCAATCCTTTGTCTCGCGCCCAAAAACCGACAAAACAGGGAGCGATGGGCATGACGGGAGCATGAAGAGTATTGTTGCCACACTATGTCACTGCCTCCTTTCCTCGCTACTTTTCATGTCACTTGACGAATGTGGTAAGGAAAAAATTGTGAGAAATAACAAATATTTCGAGGATATTTCATTTTAGAGCCCTGAAACCCTCTCGATAAAAGAAGGCCAGGGGTCAGCAACAGGAGGTTTAAAGGCTGTAACGTTGATTTTAATTTTAATGAGAAAGAAACAAATGACTTTGTCACACACATAAATACAATCACAAACACAGATTATCGGTGATTTTAAGTAAACCTAGGTGAACCATGAAATGCCAAAAATAACAAATTTATTATTTCTGGCATTACGTGTACCTACCATGAATAAAAGACTAAATATAAACTTACATAAGTTTAACCAACCGCTTGCATTTTATTGCAAACTAAGGTTAGCTGGCAAAACTAGGTGCATCCAACCTAGTTTTGCCAGCTAACCTTAGTTTATATTTATAATAAAATTGTTGGTCCGGTTAGCCGGATAATTAGATTCTGCCTAATTTCTCGCACCATGAGAAGCAGCAATGAACTTTCGATAGTCTGTAATGAAAAAATGATGATGGGAGGTTAAATTTACTAAGTGACAGCAACAGATCTCAACGATGAATATATTGCCTCATATGGGGATAATTGATATAGTTGCCATGCTTTACATGTGAGCTGACAACCATGTTTTTTTATTTTAGGTAATTATTAGGAACACGCTGCTGCCAATTTCCGGATTTGTTTTCCTCCATCTCCTCTTACGACACCCACAGTATGATATGGAGTAAGGGTTGGTACTCTTACGATGAATAGCTTCATTAAAATACTAATATCTTAAAATTTTCAACCGAATTTCCATTACAAACTTACAATTTATTCGCATTGTTGTAATTTGAAAGTGTACTGATGAGAATTCCATCTAAACCTGTTAATAAGTTAAAGCGGTCGTCAAAGTTGGAACAATGATTCATCGTTTTAGTACGACCCAACAGAATTACTTTCCATTCCCTATTTTCGTTCCCGATTCCCACAATAAGTTGTTCAAGAAACACAAATGGCTTTAGATGAAAGACTTGTTACATCGTATTGAATGCCACAAGCGTTTTGCAACTCTGACTGGTCACTGCGTAACAATGGGGCTACGAAAGTTTTAATGGGATTATTCCGTTGAAATTTGCCACAAATATGAAAAGTTTATTTCATTTGAGTACCGCCTTTTTAAATGAAAAGCGTTCCAGCCTACTTAATCTGAATCGGAAATGAGAACAATTTATATAATTTTGTTAATAATCTATTATCATTAATCTTGGCCGCCGGGTTCACCACCGCAGTTTTCTATTACTTTGAGTTCTTATCAGGCAGACGATTTTGCCCATTTTATGTTTCAGTTTATCTGTGTAGCTTCTTACGACACTCATGGGACTATATAAGTAAGTAGTTACTATGGGTTGATATAAAGATAAATTTCCCTCAGCATCACTATCAATAATAACAAAAGTAGGAAATGGTGAGAATATTTTATAGTCGGTTCAGCACACGTTTTCATAATATATCAATAAGTTGCTCACGCTACTTGCAGGTCTATAATTTCATTTTTAACATAGTAACGACGTGACACGCAGCGCGGCTATTCTCGGTGAAACTAGTTATCTGCGCAGGACGGAATTATAGTGCACGATTGAGAGCGTAAACACTTTCTATTCCCACACTGTCATAGTCCATCCGGAGGGCAATCCGATATGACTCATCAAGCGCATGAACGACGGCTTTACATGCTTTTCAAGGCACGGGGGTGAAGCAACGCCAACTTCCTTACATCCTTTCCGGGCTGCTGCTGAGAATTCCTCGATAAAAATTCCAATACGTATTTTTGGCCTTACTTGGGATTCTTACTCAGCACATGATCAGCACTCACACTTACCCTCTAAGAACGATGTGATTTGACGGATGCGATTACATTTGCTGTCATCAAAATAACCCTGTATATGATAATAACCCTGTATGCCGTCGTCAAAATAACCATGTATATGATAATAACCCTGAATGCCGTCATCAAAATAACCCTGCATATTATAATAACCCTGTATGCCGTCGTCAAAATAACCCTGTATATGATAATAACCCTCTATGCCGTCGTCAAAATAACCATGTATATGATAATAACCCTGAATGCCGTCTTCAAAATAACCCTGTATATGATAATAACCCTGTATGCCGTCGTCAAAATAACCCTGTATATTAGCGATCCGCACTGGCTTCCCAGGAGTGATTTCTGGATCTAGACAACAGCGCCATCTACCGGTTCCGGTTGTGAATCTGAACCATCCAGGGACCCACTTACACACACACACACACACACAAACATACACACACACACACACAAAAATGTCATCCAAAATCAGATGAGCCATTTTCAAATATTAGAGAGGCAAAAGAATAGCATTTGATTTTTATAACATATAGAGATATAGTCTGTATACTATACGAACTTAATCAAGCAGTGAGCAGCAGTTATCAGCCAGATATCCGTGATAATGGATCCCCCGCAAATCGGATAGGTCTTTTCTCTTAGCGAGACCTGCCAAGGTACTGCAGCTATAGACGTGTTGCGTCCATGCACTATACGTCTAGTCGATGTTGCGTATTCGCTCTGATTGTTAACTGACTTAAAATTGTATAGTGTTTCTAGTGAATTGTAGGGGTTACCTCTTCGTCTTGTGCCTGTTAGAATATTAAATTTTTTTTAAATACTTCTGTGAATAATGTATAAGCTTTAACCATTGTAAAGCCACGCTAGGTGCATTATGGCTGCAGTACGAACCAACCTATTTTAAATGGCAAAGTTTGGTAAAACAGCAGCTTCATGCTGCTGTATTGGTGTTAAAGATGCATTGCATCTTAGTCCTCTGGGGTAACAACGCATTGATTAATTATTAATTGAGGATAGCTGTAAACGTCTATGGGCCACTGAATTCACTAAAGTTATTCTATTTTTGTTCTTTAAATAAAAAATCATATATTGAATAGCTATGACGTATGTAAGCTACAGTACGAATGAGTACCGGTGTAGAGTTATCATCATCATCATTACAGCTTTTCACAAGTCCACTGCTAAACACAGGACTCTCCTAAGGAATGCCACAAAGCAGATCCTGAGCCACCTGCATCCATCGACTTTCTGCATGTCTTACCCGGCCGTCACTCAATCTAGTAAGGGGTCGTCCTACACTTAACATACCATACGAGGCTGCCACTCGACAACCTTGATTACCATCAGTTGTCGGTTCTTCGAGCTATATGGCCTGGCCTATTGCCACTTCAGCTTACTAATCCGTTGAACTATGTCAGTCACTCTGGTTCTACTGCGGACATCCTCATTTCTAAATTTATCACGCAGAGAAATCCCAAGCATAGCCCTCTCCGTAGCTCGCTGACCGACCTTGAGTTTCCTCATATGGCCAGCAGTGAAGGAGCACGTCGCAGATCCACAAGTCATCACTGGCAACACGCACTGTGTGTGCAATAGAATAAGAATAAGAATAGAATTGTAAGCATATATTATACTAGCTGATACTCGCTTCGCTGGGTACACGATAGATAGACGACAATAACGTAGATATAAAACATCAAGAATTTTTGTATGGGACTATCGTAAAATTTGTTCTTAGAGATACATTGCGAAATGGCTAATTATACTAAATTTCAAGTTAATCGGGTGTAGTTTTAGCGATATCGTGACGAGTCAGTCAGTCAGTCAGTGGTATTTCTCTTATATATATTTTTTTTTTTAACTTATTTAATTAAAAATTTTTTGCTTTTTGTAAAATATTAGTGTCGTAGGCTTCTACTCCACGCCGCCACTTCAATTATCACATTCCTTCATTAATTAATTAAAAACTATAAAAGTCCAATACTGAACATAGAGCCTTCAGTGTATAATTTACCTCAAAGCAAGGGGAGGTGCCTTTGCTAGAGTTATCACGTCTAAAACGTGGTTGGCAACTGTATTTTATATTTTTAATATGTTTTATCGGGAAGATGCTGCTGCCATGTCCTCTTTCAGTTTTACTCTTACGACATCGATGTGATAACTTGGGGTAGTGGATTTCCTTATGCTGCCTTTTCAGATATTTTTGACAACAAATTTACTACAAAATGTATTTTTTAATAGTGAAAGTGTGCTTACCGATCAGGTTATCCAGTAACGTGTCATATAATTCTCTGTATCTCTTGCGTACCTTTTCATCATTAAGGAACCCGAGTACATCTTTCTTATTACTCTCTGCTAGTGTTGCTAGTTCTGAGTAATCTATTTCCGTAGATCTATCTTCACTAAATTCTATATTATGTTTATTAAAAACTACTGTAATGATTGACATAAAATTAATAATTCTAAACGCTGCTAAGAGCATTGTGAAATTTAAAATAATCTTTTGAAAATTATTATTTATTTATTATTTGAACTTGAATCATAATTTTTATATAAAATGAATAAGATATCGATCAGCCAAAAATATTCACTGGATAAACAGAAGTCAATAGCAACGAATGTCGAAAAATATTAATTACAAAAATATATTAAGAGCTCCGGACCGTGAAATTGCGTTGTTGTTTTGATGTTAAAATATTACGTAGCGCTGTATCCACAGTATAGCTTGGTTAAAAGATCAGACGATTTTTGTGTTCTAAAATACCTACACGGCATGTTCGCTAAGACGCCATTAGTAGTACGCAGTAGGACTTCTTTCTCCCAAGAAGTTCGTCTGTGCTGTCCTCGGTTATTTGTGCCTTGCCGAGCTCTGGTCTAATGGGTTTAGAATACTAGCATATATTATAGGCTGTGGGGAATTCCATCTTAATCTTCAGAGGTATCATAGGTATTAGTTCGTGTGTCCTTTCAGTTTCGTAAAAAATACTTTGAAGTAGTACTAATGTTGAGTATTGTATTTTATGGAATGGGGTGACAAACGAGCATATAGTCCGCCTGATGGTAAGTGGATGCTGTGGCTCGCAGACATCTACATTTATCTTCGATTAATTATAACCTCTGAGGACTACGATGGAATGGCTCGTTTCCAGTTAAAAGGGTCCTTGGATCTCTACACTCCATACAAAACACAGCTGCTACAATTTTTTGTATTATTAACTGCACGCTCGTCCAGTAATATAACAATATAATATAGAAGGCAATATAAAAATGGGCGCTCTTACTTGACTTCTTGCAAAAAAAATGTAAGTATACCCAAATAATTTTGAGTGGGCGCCAAACAAGCAAATTAAATATATATAAATAATTACGTAAAGCGTGATGCGCGGCTCGACACGCCTCTTCCCCGCAAAATAAAGCTATGCTAGGATTAGATTATAAATTTATTAATACCTTGGTTTAGGACGTTTAAATCAAGATATTAATAAAGTACTATATTTAAAAAATAATATATTTATTTATCAATAAAGTATTAATTATTTACCACAAGCATGGCGGCGAATGAAAACATCGTGAGGAAACATGCATGTATGAGAAGTAAGAAGAAAATTATTTCGAAGACATGTGAAGTTCGCCAACATGCATTTGGGCGGACATTTTCTTGCCCTAAAATCCTATCAGAAATGAGATAAGGCCTGTGGCCAGCAGTATATAGGTTGTAACTTTTAACTTTAATATATTAATGGACCAAAATGACTTATATACATTAACAATACAATATATTGATTTAGTGTCAAAAAAGAAAATCACAAAATCTGAACCTGGAAAGGTTCCAGCGATGTTATCGAGTTCCCTATTACAAAAAAATATAAAGGGCTGATTGTAATGCCTTGAGGCATTCTCTGCTAGTCAACTCATGGAGTGGTAAAAATTTGACGAAGGCTTAATAATCTATACATATAACAAATCTGTAGAAAAGTCGTGTCTGTAATTTTAATATTTTTTTGTAAAAAAAAACCAGTCCAGGGGACTAAATTAAGGACACTGAAGCCAAATTAGTGGTTTTTAGATTTTTTGTCTGTGTGAATGTCTGTGTATTCACTATTCAAACGGAAACTACTGAACAGATTTCCATGAAAATTTGTCGGTAGAGACCTGGAACAACTTATAGGCTACTTTTTATCCGATTACAGAATATGAAGAAACAAGGGTTAAGTATTTTCCCTTCCTTTGATGTTAATTTATATTTCATATAATTACTGATTGATGTATTTTTCAAAATAAATAAAATATTTATAAATAAAGCCTAAAATTAGTTTTAACCGTTGCGTAATAAATTGAACTACGCTAACAATCTATGATTTACTTTTTAAAACAGCGCCATCTAATGTAAAATAGAATAAGTAGTGACATTTTGCCTCCTTTTACTAATAGATTAAATAATATAAGCAGGTTATATTTATATGTTTAAATAATTAGATTCATTATTGATTTGAAAATGCTAACGTTTATTTTTTGGTTCTTTCGTTATATCGTTTTAGTAGAAATAAATAAATTTTATAATAACTAATTACTACTTAAATGGTTAATATAGTGAAATCTGTCGAAAATCATAAAATTAAGGATGTTTCTAAGTTTTATTTCTAATATATAAAAAGTTATAGAAGGTATTAGTTTTTTAATCTATAAATAAACTAATAAAAATCGCAATTATGTGGCAAAAATTTTTTACGCCATAACTGGGCACCGCCACTTTACAATGAGGTAATTTTTTGGCAGAATTCATAGCGAGGAAGATAATTTCTTAAGAAAGTGTAAAGTTTAATGTTTCTTCCTATATTAATCGTTATATTTTATATAAATTATATCAGAAATAATTAAACCCAACCATAAATATAACTAAAAAGGGAATTTTAAAACAAATAAAAAGAGCAAAAAATTAAAGATTAAACCACTAAGCATTATTATGTGTATTAATATAAGACTCTAGGGACTGATAAATTGTTATATGAAACAAATTTCTCAATTAACTGACATTGTGTAACAAAAAACTTTACCTCAGTTACAACTAGCGACATCTGGTGAGTGGAAACTATTAGCCCGCATTATTGTAAATGCCTTATTATCCTTGAAATGTAAATAAAGATAAATAATTGTTGTGTTTGGCGATGTTAACAACTAAACCCGACATTTCTATTTCTACTTGGGTATTATTGTTATATTATAGTAAAGTAATTTCATTACACACCGCTAGCAGCGCTGATAGAAAAGAAGAATTATACATTTTATATGTGGTAGAGCCATGCTGCAGTTATATTAGATGTATAGTTGTAGCACGAATGGGTCGGCTCGACCGGGGAAGGACCACGCTCTCATAGAATACCAGCGTGAAGTAGTAGCTTAATGCTGCTGTGTTTCGTATGGTGAGTGTAGAGAACCGGAGACCCTTTTTACTGGAAACGAGGCATTCCATCTTAGTCCTCACGGGTGACAACGCATCTGCATTTTGATTCGTAATTGAGGATAGATGTAGATGTCTATGGGCCACAGCAACCACTTACCATCAGGTGGACTGTGTGCTCGTTTGTCACCCTTTCCTATAAAAAAAACATATATATATATATATATATATATATATATATATATATATATATATATATATATGTATGTATGTGTATATATATATATAGAGAGAAGTTGAATAATATGTTGTGTATTTATCGGCATAACAATATTTCACCAATTTCTTTTTGTATCAAGTCCGGTATATGTAATTGAAAATTAAGTGCACTGTGAGATTTTTATTTATTATTGATGGAATAGTTGGTGATACCGTTGACGCTGCATTTCATACTCTAAGTGAGTCTTTTAAAACAGTTTGCCATACATTAAGATAGCTTCCATATTTTCAAAAATACCTATTAAAATATTTGTGACAGTTCGGGGGTCACAGTTCACATGAGTAAATGAACAGGCTCTTGCGAAAAAGCACTACAAACATCAAAGAAAGAAAATTTTGAACACAGGTTTATTTTAATTTTAACTATGAGTATAGAATCTTGAAAGTCATCTGTCAAAGCCGGTAAACGAACCGATCCAAACGTAAATTTCGTAGCACGAAAGCAACCCAAATTCGATCCGCGACGATTTCACTCATATTTTAACTGCAATTTGAAGTTTAGATTTACCAAGTTCTAGGTGGTAAAGGAAAACATCGCGAGGAAACCCGCATATTTGAAAAGTTAAAAATATTGTTGCGCGCCTAAGTTGACGTCATGTACCCGGCACTAGCGCCTTCTAGTGTCGGAGATGAGAGCGAGGGGAGCTTTCCAGAAAATTACATCACTAATCTTTCAACCGACAGCGCCATCTAGTATCGAAACGAAGAACTAAGCTTCTAGAAGCCCGATACTCGAACTTTCGGTGCCTAGTCGATTGGCGTGCGTATTTACTTGAATATTCTGGATGTTTCGATGATAATGTGTAGATATATAATAAAGTGTAAATATAAGATGGTTTAAAGGCGCTGCAAGATGCGAGCGGGGAAGTATTGAATTTGGCGAGACAAGCGAAGCTTCGGAGCGGTATAAAGTGAATAAGTGTGATTAATTATTAGTGTTTTAAATTTTAATTAGTGTAAAGTGAATTAAAGTGTTAATTTCGGTAATTCAATCGGCAGATTTTATTGTCACAAACCTCAAGCTCGTAACAATTGGTGTCAGAAGTGGGATCAAATTATGCCGATTTTACCGAAGGAGGAATAGGGTGTCCGTACCCGAAGTCAACGCCAGCAGGAGACAGACCAGAGGAGATTTGGTGGTGCAACGCCGCAGACGTCGGAGGGCCAGCTGCCGGCTGCAGGCTGCGGGCCCGTCAGTAGCTCCTACATCTGCAGCACCTGACTTAGGTGCTTTGATGGCGATGCTACAGGAGCAGCTGCAGCGTGGACAAGAGGAACAGGCCCGTCTGTTGAAAGAGCAGCAGGAGGAACAGGCTCGCCGACAGGAGGAACAGGTCCGTCGGTTAGAAGAGCAGCTGCGGGGCGGACAGGAAGAACAGGCCCGCCGATAGGAGGAACAGGCCCGCCGCCAGGAGGAACAGGAGAGCAGCTCAAACGCGACAAGAAAGAGCAGATGCTTCTCATGAAGGACCTTCACGCTACCTTCGGGAAAGAGATAAAGGAGGTGAAGGATAAGGTTGCTCAACATGATAACCGCCTGTCGGAAGCTGAGACCCAAATCAACCAAGTTAAGAAAACGCTGGATGAACTCAAACTTGGAGATGGAATTGCAGCCCCCGCAGTAGCTACAACACCTTCGCTACCTGCCACCGTTCGACGGGATTTCTTCCTGGTTAGCCTACAAAATCCAGTTTGAGGCTGTTATGAAGGCGAACGGCTGGAATAAAAGTCAGGCCATGACTGCCCTCATACTAGGCCTGCGCAACCAGGCCTTAACAGTTCTGGAAGCTCTCGGTGAAGAATTG